GTTAACTGCCAAATCAATCTACGCCAATCGAAGCTGAGGAAAAACGCATCGTTGGCCTATTAAAAACCAATTTAATTTACTGGGCGCAAGCGGGGGTGGAAAATGAGGGGCTTAATTACACTGAAAGAAAAAGCTTGTCTTAAAACTTTTCTTTCTTGAATTTTGTATATGCTCGCTTGACTAAAAATCTATAAATATTTTAAATAATTTTTTAAATATCGCTTCTGGGGCTTTACATTTGGTTATAATTTAAATTAAGTAATTGAATCTTATTAGGATCACAATCGAGATTTTTTATTTAGCCATCATCTTACCTAAAAAATACACAAATATTTTTAGTGTAACATTTCCCAAAAAATCAAATAAAAATTTATACACCAAAACAAAACTATTATTTTTAAAGAAGAGATTCTATTTAAGTTAAAAGAAGATGATGGAACAAGCTTTTCCACTTTTCCTTTCTGTGCATGGAACACATTTTCAGCAACCACGAAATTTGATCAGAGATAAATTCCAATTATTAAAATCGAATTTGCACAGCAAGTCAGCACATGCAACATGCAATGGTCGTGGCCAGGGGGCGGTGGACGGGGGGCGGAGTGTGTTGCATTTTGGAAGCCATTGAAACATTTTATCAAATTCTAATTATGCAAAACGGAGGGGAAAAAAGCAATTAAACCGAATGTCCCCAAATGCTCGTATGCAACTAACTATAAAATGGGCAAATTATCAGATCTCCGATGCGCACAGAATTGAGGGGGAGTGGCACACACATTGTTCGAGCAAAGGAACCATGTATATTCGGTCGTGTTTCGAGCTTCTTGATACGTTTTCCAATTAACTCCGCTGTCCAGTGTTAGTAAACGCTATTCGCCCAACAAATTTGCCATGAAATTACATTTTTTCTGCCTCAATAAAATTGTCAAACCTACAAATCAACGATAACTAAATCGATTGAGGCGGGGATTACAAACATAAATGTAATGCCCGGTTAACGCTTCATAAAACTGCACTTTAAACAATCGAATTGCCGGTGCTCAAATTGACCCGATGGTGCGAGAAAAATAAAAATCCTTTCAACAGGGAAAACAAAAACAGGATGTGTCTACAATAGCGATAGCATAAAGTATAAACTGTATATAAATAAATTTTATTGCAAGGCGAATGAGAGCTCTGCTTTTGTTTTACCATTTCTGCATCATGGGCACATCCATTGACAATTGACAGAAAAACAAATGGCAAAAACATCGGAAAAGTAAATACAAATTGCGAATTTAAATCAAACAATGTTGTTGAATTGGTTCAAGATAAAATTCGCAGAGCTCATCAGGTGATTATCCTTTAGTCACTTTTAACACTTAAAATAAGTATAATTTTATTATTTATATTTAGTTTCTAAATCTCGAAAATATTAAAAAAATCTTTAAAAACAACGTTGCATATTCTCGGGCACCGCATGAAATGCTTTTCATCTGATTTTCTCTTTAAGATTCGTATGTGCCACATATTTGCAAATTAATATTCCCTTATGCGTTCATAAATAATAAAAAGGAGTAATAACCAAGTGTATAAAAACAAATATAAATAATGCATAAATACAATGGCGGGCAGACAGCGGAAAATAAAGACACGTCCCATTAACTTAAATGCTTGTTCGCCCCGTCTCTTTTTTATCCACTCAGGCTCTCTCTTTCTCTGGTTATTTTTGAAGCTTTGGCACTTTGTCATGAAATATGCATGCGCCATATTTACACGAACAACATTAATTTTGCAATTTCACTGGTGCTTCTTTCTTATTTGAACGAATTAATATTCGTTTTTTAAAAGCTAAATGGTGTGAAATAATGAAATCATTTATTTCGATACTAAAAAAATACTATTTGTTGACCATTTCTAAACAAATATTTGAAACAATGTCATTTGCAAATATATTTGCTTAAAAAAGATAAAAAAAACACACATAAATAGTTTTGTAAAGAAGCAAAAATAACATAAATTTCAAGTCCCCGTTGAACGGATCAAAGTCACAAAATGCCAAATATTTCCATAATTAATCAAATTGATTTACGCTGATCCCTCCCACATCCGAATGTCCTGTTCCTGTCCCGATTCCAAAACATTTTATTGCCATTTTTGCTGAGCCCATAAATCAAATGGGAAAGCTGCAACTGCAACCAGTTCCTGTTTAGGGGAAAAAGCTTAAGAGCGGCACAGCGGGTAATTATTGAATTATTTCTGAACGCTAATTAGCCGGACAACTAGAGCCACAATGATTATTATTTCTTCTTTTGACATTAACACAGGCAAAAAAAAACGGAATGAAATGAAATCAATTAGGCGTGCCATCGCACAAAACAGAAAATAATCTGGCCATCAGTGCGACGATGATTATTGTGATGGATATTTTATGCGACACCACTGACCGGCGGATTGACCCCATTGCATCGGCTGCCATTTCTGATGCTGCTTTGTTTCCGTTTCCGCTGGGTCCGATTTGACATCTGCGCTTCGGCCTCGCTTGTGTGCCCACCCACAAATTCACCCACTTGAAATTCAATTTTCCGACGATTTTATGATAATTTATATATATATCAATACACACACGAAAAACGAAATTACATTTTGTCTCATTAATTTATGCACAAGAGTCGCGGAACCGAATGAATTGATTTGTGCCCGCAAACAAATATGCAATTTTAAATTGGAAACATTTACACAATGCATTACACTAAATTGTCACAGTATTTGGTATTGAATTATATTTGCATTGCATGTTGACCGATCGCCGAAACTTAACTGAAGCCCAGAGAACTTTGTGCCAGAGAAACCAAAGCATTTCATTACCATATGCCAGTTAGGATTCCCCTACATTATGCTTTTGGATACGCTCAAGTGGTTAGTGCAAAGTAACCTACCCAAAGACGTTTTTGTGCAAGCGATCAGTCGGAACGTTACCAAATTGTTATGATAAATGGTAACGTTAAACATGAATACAGGGTTCCCCAGCAGCAAGTCTTGAAAAATTATATAACCGTATAAAAATAAAAATAAAACAAAAAAATATAAAATAGGAAATTCCAAATTTAAAGTTACGCGATTTGTATTAATATTTTTTCAGTCCCATTTAAGATTTTCTTGGAATTCCGAATAGTTTTATTTAGAAATATTATTTAAAATTTTAAAAAACACACAGCAAGTTCTTAAAATTTGGTATGATTTAGAGCCCAACATGAGTGGAATTATTTTCCAAAAAAATTACACATTTTCAAAAAAAAAGTTTTGTAAGTGTTGGAAATATTTTTTACTCTGGTGGCTTGTTAACGTGTACCCAAATATATTGTAACGATCAGGGACCGTAATAATTATAAGTGAAAAAATAAAAATCTCCATTTAATGATTATTTCGTAAGCGAAAAAAATATCGCTCAGAAATAATGATTATTATGTGAGCGATATTATTTCGCTTAAAAATAACACTCAAAGTGCGATTACAGCCGTTCTGTACGGAATTTTACAAACTTTTAAATTTCTGCTTGTAGGTAGAACCACGGAGCACACATCGAGTTAATAAAAGAAGGTGATTTCTTTGTATAAACTTTTTAAAACGCGGTTTTTAGTTGACATGAGGTATGCTTAAATACAACAAGTTGTATCAACCTTAGAACTTTATGTCATTTATTTATTAGTAAAACGACTTAACAAGATGTTATGAACTATTCCACTTAGATCCAATCCGACATGTGGGCTGGGTGTTAGTGTGTTGGTCCACCGAGCTGTAAGCACGAGTTCGATTCCCACAGAAAGTGTTTTTATACAAAAAGATTTTTTTGTTTTTTTAAGCGGTTTATACAAAGAAAATTTATTTTTTTCTTAACGGAATATGTGCTCCGTGGTTCTTCCTACAAGAGCACATTTAAATCTTTGTAAAATTCCGCGTAGGACGGATGCAATCCCACTTTGAATGATATTTTTGAGCGAAATATATCGCTCACAAAATAATCATTATTTCTGAGCGATATTTTATTTGCTTAAAAAATAATCATTAAATGGAGATTTTTATTTTTTACTCAAAAAAAATAATCATTATTTTCGGTCCCTGGTAACGATATATCAATCAATAACAGAAACAAATTTTACTGAAAAACAAAACAAATTTTTGCTTTATCCCTACAATTTTATCACAAATTTATAAAATGCTAAATAATAGAATAGTTTTTATGTGTCTTAAGCAAAGCATGCAAATAACTGTTAACCGTTTTTTTCCTTACGCTCTACTCCCGAGAACAACCGAAAAATAGCATGCCCCTCGTTCTCTCTCTGCGCAGCACACTTCGTTTCCTTTCGTTTTGGTTTTCGGTTGAGCCTTTTACGTTGAGCTGTTCGTGAGACGCTCTGTTACGAACCTCGTTCAATGAGAGTTACGAATGTCGCTCGCACAGGGAGACTTATTAAAAGACCGATTGACTGAAAAAGTCATCGCAAAAAGTCTTTTCACTAATACAACTATACAATGTATTCCCTTTGAGAGTACTTGCGAGTGAAAGGGAGAGCAATATCGCCCAAGCACGTTAACGTTAACACATGCGCAAAAGACTTTTTAAAACGTCGTTCAGGAGCAATCAGTCTGTAAGCGAGCCGAGCAGAAAGCCGAAAAAACTGCTCGTCGCCTGAGTGCGAGCAAAATTTCTGTACGAACAATTCAATCGGTTGCTCTCTGATTGTTTGCTCAAAGTCTCAGAGAAAAACAGTTATTTGGGGACCGCACGAATCGGTCAACAGTTATTTGCGAGCTATGGTCTTAAGCCCATATGGTATCAACTCTTGACTTAATCATCATTTCAACATAAATAAGCGATCTGGTCCAAAGGAAGTTATGCCAAGATCCCCAAGTAATTCCATTACCACGTTTTTTACCTACAACGCGACCGTCTTTATAAAATTTTCCATTGAGAGTACTGTAATATAAAGATATTGGATTTATGTATTTGAATCTTTTACCTCTTACCTCTTGCTACAATTGTCGTACCACCAGCCACCTACTTCAGGACAAGCGCAATTGTCAGGGGAATTGTCATTATCCCTGTCGTACGTAGTGAATGTTTGGTTCACATTCTGGCTTAGGGAGTCTCCGGCCGTACCAAAGAATTTTCCCAGTGACTTTAGCTGATACGACTCTTCCTCGCTTCCAATACTAAAATCCTTATAGTGAGCGTAGCTTGTTAATCCTTCAATGTTGCCAAGTTTGATATAAAGTTCATGTGGTCGGTCCCGAGTCATAACGTGAATTTTTTCTAGTCCGATGAAAAATTCGCCATTCACATCTCCGAATCCATTTTTATAATCCATCCAGGGTCGATTAAAGTTCTCAGAGCCGTCAAAACGTTTTTGAATAGTGGTCCAACCAACTTTAGACAGCTCTTCAGAGAGGAATTTGTTTTGATTTTTAGCTTCCACCAAGCGTTTTTCCAAGTCCTTAGCAATGTTTGTCTTATGTACAAATTTAGAGAGTGTGGTGATCAGGATCGAGGTGCAATTTTCATCACAATCGAATTTAAACACTGTTGAAAGTGAGTGTGCTCTGCTAAGAAACAGGACCTCCAAAAGTAAAAACGGCAGAAAAACCTTAAGGATTAGCGACTTCATTTTTTTAAAAGTGCTATGTACGTTCGACTCGAAATCTAAAATAAATATAATTCAGCATACAAAAGTGAGGTTTATATAGTCCAAGCTTAATTGAGATAAGAGCGCATTTCTCCAGATATTTATTTAACATATTAGAGCTTAAAGCTAAAAGAATTCATTAAAAACACCCTCATCATCTTTGTATGACTTATTTAATTCGGAAAAAAGTTTATTATTTTATGAAACTAGGATATCCTATAAATACAGTGACACAGTTTCGGGACAACTTTCTGTGAAATTCTGACGTAAATCGACATTCCACGCAAAATACAAATATTTGCTTTGTCATTTCGTGATATTTTTTGTTTTTTTTTTTATAGTTTTAAATCTATTTTGTTTTCTTTTTTAATCCATTCATTACTTTATAATTTTGTTATACAATATGAAATATATTTTTTAAAAGGGGTGATACGGAAATATCTTCGGGCGTTATTTTGTTGGAGTTTTTTTGATGTTCGTACAAATTTCACCCGAATAAGAGATTTCTGAGTCATAACCAAATATCTATTATCCTATCTATTTTAATTTAAAGAAAATCAATCATTTTAAAAACAAAAAATCTTTGAAATTTTGTAACTTTTAAACACGTAAACAGATTTTTAAGGATAACTTTTAATACATTACATGAATTTTACAGGACTTCACTGTTAGCGACATCTAGCGTTAATCGACAAAACCAGAAAAAGTTAGTTTTCCTATCGCTATCGATAAGCCGATATCCCAAAAAGTGCCCTCACTAGAACAGCTGTTTAATGCGAGCAATATTTTGTTTGTTTTGAAACCAAATAATTTCAAAATGAGTTTTCCAAAGCGGAAACCCCTTTCGTGGTCACAATATTACGAAGAATTACTCTTTGACCTGTGGGAGGAAAACATTGCGTCCATTCGAGGTGGTCAAAAAAGCACGATTGTGTTCAAAGGAATGGCCGAAAAACTGGATGAAGCTGGGTTCATTGGAGTGGAGATGAAGGATGTCCGCACCAAACTGGACAATTTAACCCGAAAATACAAGTAATAGAACTATTATTTATTTAAATTATTTTTGAATCGTAATGTTTTTAAATACAGAAAAGAAGCCGAGGAGGGACACTCGAAATGGAGGCACTTTTCGAGAATTCATCGAATTTTGGGAGTACTGAAACCAGTAAAAGTAAAATATAATCACTTGATGAAACAAAGCACAGGTATTTACTAATTATATTAGAAGTAAAAAAACATTTAAAATGAGGTATTAAGATGATTGATTTTAATAAATATATTTTATTACAGATGACAATGGAAAAAAGGAATCGCTTTCAGTAAAGACCGAGTGCTTAGCTAACGATTTGGATGAGCAGGAAAGCCCAAGTGACGAGGATGGTAATTCCTGGGAGCGCACAATGGAAATGCTGTCGAATCCAGGAAGACTAGGCGATGACTTTTCGCCACACCGTAAAAAGAGAAAAGTTTCCCAGGATGATATGACATCCTTCGAGGCAGGAATGCTAGCGGCCACAAGAGAACGTAATAAAGAACTCCAGCATATGAGAAAAGAGCTGACCAACCTAGCCAGTCGACGGCTGAACGCCCTGGAGAAACTTCAAAGGACCATGGAACGTATGGAGCAAGAAAATGCCAAATTCCATCAGAAATTGCTGGACAAATTATAGCAAAAGGATGCTTGAAATCATAGAATAGAGTAAATTAAGATTATATTTTACATTCATAATCTGTTCCATGAAATTCTGTTAAAAAGGTCGGATTTTGTTGTCCTATGTTCTCGTAACGCACCTAAAACTTCCATTATATTAATACTATGTGCTTAAAATTACTTTTAATATAAAAATAACTAGCACAGATCGAATCAATCATCTCTCAGGTTGATTGGTAATATAATGGGAAATCGCATTTCTCATTATATTTGGAGCCTCTAGAGAATTTGTAATACTATCGGTTTCCTCTGGCTGCGAGCGTTGGATATCACTGATTTTCCAACTATCCATAAGATCGCTATTCCTGCAAATCAGGAAATTGTGCAATATACAACAGGTAACAATGACGCCGGGCGCTTTCCTGTTACGATTATCAAGTCCCTTATGAATCCTCTGGAAGCGCGATTTTAGGTTCCGAAAAGCCATTTCAGCTATTCTCTTAGTCTTGGAGTGGGCATCATTATAGAAAATCTCATTATCGTTTCCAGAATTGTCGGATGGGTAAGCCTTCATGACGGCCGTTGAAAATCTGAAGGCGGAATCGCCCACCAGAAACACTGGCACATCGACTCCCTCGAGGGATTTTGAATTTTCCTTCAAAATATCAGTTGAAGTTAACTTTTTCTTAAGGGTGCTAGCTTCAAATATCTCCGACATGCTGCATCGACCCTGGCAGCCGCTATTTACATAGAGGAATCTTCCCCTAAAAGGCAATTTAAATAAATCTCTTTCTTTAAAAATGTTAGAAATATTTACCTGTGATCTACCAAAGTTATGAGTATAGTGGAGTACCAGCCTTTAATGTTACAATAATCCTCGGCATCGGAGACAGGAGGACGTATCTCAATATGAGTTGCATCTATAAGATCACATATGAGAAACTGTGATAGACCTTTTAATAAACAATATATTACCCAAAACTCCGAAGCATTGGGGAATGCCGAGTTCCTCGAATCCCGGAACACATTCATCCAGTTTCTCTTGGGTGAGAAATTCTTTGGGCAAGTGCTCTGCAGCAAAAACGTTGACTATCTGCCGGCCGAACTCGAACAGGATTTTGGGGATCAGCGAGGATGGAACGCCAAATAACCTGCCCACTTTGCGATAGTCCGTGGACGATCCCATCGTATATAGAGCTATAGCTATGCGTTTTTCCAGTGGAATTTCATTCGGCGTTTCCGGCTTCACTCGGCTATTTTCCAGGGACTCCACTATCTCCTCAAAGTGCTCCCTTTCCATGCGAAAATTTTCCTTGAAGAGATCATCGGAGAGTTCTGGAACATCTCGCTCCCAAAATTTGCCATCTGGGCGCTGTAATTAGTTAATGATTTATAGCTCTTGAGGTTATTAATTTTTGAATAACTTACATTTCGCTGGTTTGGTAGAAAGATGGAATCTTCCTCTAAAATGTCAAGCCACAATTTGCTGGATTCTTCTTCCAACCTTTGCAACTCCAGGAAGTTCTGCATAATTCTTGTGTTTTGCTCTTGCATGAGTAAAACTAAGCGAACAATATCATTTCTTTCATTATCGTTCATTGTTTTTAAAATTTTGTAAAAGTCGGAAAGTCGTAAATCGAACTCAACCAATGTGCCAAAAAACAGCTGTTTGGCAGAATTTATCGATAGCAGTGCCAGTGTTGAAAAATAGCTATTTAAAAAAATAAAATTTTTAAAAAATAGTTTAAAAAAATTTAAATTTAAAGAATCACATTTACATTTTCGAAATATTTATATTATTATGTTTATTTCAAATCAAAACCTTGAGAAAGAAAAAATTATAAACTTATCTAATATTTAAAAAAATTTGCATTAATGTTATGATACAATATTATATTTAATTAATTTAACAATAATTAAAAAATGTACGTTACTAAAAAATGTAGTCACCTAGAAACCGACCCAAAATCCCCCTTCTTCCGACCTGGTAACTCTGCCCAAAGTACAAAAGTATAATATAAAGCCCGGCTTAGAGATAACGAACTGAAAAGTTTTCGCATCCAATTGGTCATCTGATTTCGCCCGATATGGGAGGAGAACTAGCGAATCGAGCTGCATTATCGGCACTTCTGGGGATCCTGCTGATCACGGGATGCGAAGCGGAGAACCCGAAGTTCAAGTACGAGATCAAGGAGTTCCCGGTGCCCGTGGATCACTGGAGTTTCTCGAGCAACGCCACCTTCAACATCCGGTATTTGTACAATGACTCTTTCGTGGACAAGGCCAATGCCCGCACACCGATCTTTTTTTACACGGGCAACGAGGGGGACATCGAACTCTTTGCCCAGAACACCGGATTCCTGTGGGAGCAGGCGGAGAGGCAGCGGGCGCTGGTGATCTTCGCGGAGCATCGATATTATGGAAAGTCCCTGCCCTTCGGGAGCTCCACCTTCAACGCCAGCATGCCGGAGCACTTGGCGTATTTTACGGTGGAACAGACCCTGGAGGACTATGCCATGCTGATCACATTTCTGCGGAACGATCGCCAGATGCCCGTGGTGGCCTTCGGTGGATCCTACGGCGGAATGCTGGCCGCCTGGTTCCGCATGAAGTATCCCCATTTGATCGCCGGTTCTCTGGCCGCCTCGGCTCCCATTCTGCAGTTTCCTGGGATCACCGATTGCGACATCTTCTCGAGGATTGTGACTTCCGTGTTTCAGAATGCCTACAACGCCAACTGCACGGTGAACATTGCCAAGTCGTGGAAACTCTTTGAAACTCTGGCGGGGAATGAGGCGGGTAAGAAGCAGATTTCGGATGCTTTTCACCTCTGCACTCCGCTTAAAACTGATGACGATCTGAAGAAGTTCCTGGACTACGTAGAAGAGGTCTACAGCAATCTGGCCATGGTGAACTATCCGTATGCCAGCAGTTTCCTGGCCCCACTGCCCGCTTATCCGGTGAGGCAGGTGTGCTACTACCTCAAGGATCTGCACACCACCGATGCGGATCTGCTGCACGCCATGTCCAGTGCTTTGGCGGTTTATACGAATTACACTGGGTCCTCCAAGTGCCTGGATATTTCGGCTACTTCTAATGCCGATGAATCTGGATGGAATATCCAGAGCTGCAACCAGATGGTGATGCCCTTCTGCTCCAACGGCACCGAAACCATGTTTCGCACCTCCACCTGGAACTTCAAGGAGGTCGCCGAGAAGTGCCAAAAGAACTATCGCCTCTCGCCCAAGCCATTTGACATAATTCTGCGTTATGGCGGCCGAAACCTGGAGGCTGCGACGAATATCATCTTCAGCAACGGCCTGCTGGATCCCTGGAGCGGTGGCGGCGTCCTGCAGTCGCCCAATGACAAGATCTTCGTCATCATCCTGCCGGAGGGGGCTCATCACCTGGACTTGCGCCACAGCGATCCCGCTGATCCGCCATCCGTGCGAGATGCCCGCAATAAGGAGGCGGCCATCATAGAACGATGGATCCAAGATTTCTGAAATGAGATCACTTTTATTAAAGCCAGAGCAATCAAAAATTCTTGATATTATGAATGTATATTTTGGAACAAATGAAAAATGTATTGAAAAGATTTGGAGTCCATTTTGAAATACTTTTAAAATTTATAATAAATGAGAAATTTTATAATCAACACCTTTGAAACATTTACAAAATTATCTAAACAATTTTATGAACAGTTTATGATCTTAGAATGTAATTTTATTCCTTTTTTAATTACTGATTTGGATCCAGGATTTCTGAAATGAGATCAATTTTATTAAAGCCAGAGTAATCAAAATTTCTTGATATTATGAATGTATATTTTGGAAAAATGAAAAATGTATGGAAAAGATTTCGAATCTATTTTGTAATACTTTTAAAATTTACAATACGTGTGAAATTTTGTAATCAAAACCTTTAAAAAATTTACAAATTATCTAAATCATTTTATGAAAAGTTGATGATCTTATAATGTCTTTTTATTCCTTTTTTAACTACTGATTTGGATCCAAGATTTCTGAAATGAGATTGCTTTTATAAAAGCCAGAGTAATCAACAATTCTTAATATTATGAATGTATATTTGGGAACAAATGAAAAATGTATTGAAAAGATTTCGAATCTTTTTTGTAATACTTTTAAAATTTATAAAAAATTTGAAATTTTGTAATTAAAACCTTTGAAACATTTACAAAATTAGGTAAATCATTTTTTTAAGAAGTTTATGATCTTAGAATGTATTTTTTTAATTACTGATTTGGATCCAAGATTTCTGAAATGAGATCACTTTTATTAATTTTTAAAAGCCTTACAACAAAAAAGCAATTTCAAGCGAGAGGAATCAAATATTCTTGATATAATAAAAGTATATTTCGGAACAAATGAAAAATGTATCGAAAGGATTTCGAATCTGTTTTGTAATACTTTTAAAATTTTATAATAAATGTGAAATTTTGTAATCAACACCTATGTTTTTACTTGAAAAATTTACAAAATGATCTAAATCATTTTATGAGAAGTTAATGATTGTAGAATGTCTTTTTATACCTTGATCACTTTTATTAAAGCCAAAGTAATACAAAATTCTTGATATTATGAATGTATATTTTGAAACAAATGAAAAATGTATTGAAAAGATTTCGAATCTATTTTGTAATACCTTTAAATTGTATAATAAATGTGAAATTTTGTAATCAAAACCTTTGAAAAATTTACAAAATGATCTAAATAATTTTATGAGAGGTGAATGTTTTTAGAATGTCTTTTTATTCCTTTTTTTAATAAATGATTTTGCGAGAAATCTATTAGCTCATTGAGCTCAAACTGAATACCGACTAGTTCATACGTATATTAACTTAGTTAGCCAACAGAATTCATAAAAAACAAATAGAAATTTATACAATTTATGCGAATTTGACTAATCGATGGACACGCTGGATATTTCCATTGAGCTGTTATCATCCGAGGGCGGCTGTTCGGGTGGATTTGCAGTGCCGCTGGATGTGCCAGGCGTCTCCTCAGTGGCCGTTGTGACTGCAGTTGCCGTTGTGGTTGTGGTACTGCTACCAGCCGTAGTTAAGCTCGTCCTGTTCGCCTGCGATCGACGCATTCCCTCGAGCAAGTTTCGACCCGGTCGCAAGCTGATCGAGGAACTGCTCGAGCTGCCCGCAACAGAAGTGGCAGTCGTGGTGGTCGTCGTGCTTGCAATTGAGGTGAAGGGCACTCGCACACGCACATCCTGCAGCTCCCACTCCATCTCGTCCTCGGAACTGGTCTCTGCATTTGCCACGGCCGTAGATGTTTTGGTTTTCTTCTGACCCTCGGCGTTGCGCTTCCAGTCGATTGTTTTTAGCAAGGCCTTGGCCTCTGTTTTGCGCTGAAAGTTTAAATTTAATTAATATCAGTGCATATGCACTAAAATAGATATACCCACATCATCAGAGTCCAGACATTTGTAAGCATAATAGGCGGCCCTCTCGTATTCGCCCTTTTTCTCGTAATAATTCGCAAGCGTTATGAAGCCTTGGTAGAGACTCTGCTTATCGGTGGCCGCCCGTTCGTCCTCGCAGTACATGATGTAGCAATGGACCGCCGTCTCGTGGTCGCCCAGCTTCTCGTGCAGATTGGCCAGCTTGTACATGGCTATGCCCTCTATATCACCCACATCGATGGCCTTCCAGTAGCACTTTACTGCGTTCTCGCACTTGTCCAGCTTCTCGTACGTCTCGCCCAAGGCAACCAGCATGCGCGAGTCGTAGGGACGCAGTTGGTGTGCGATTTTAAAGTAGTACAAGCTGTAGTAGTGCATCTTGATGATCTCGTAGGCCTGGCCCAGGCCGTACCAGGCGCGATAGTCGCGCTTGTTGACCTCCACTGCCTTGCGATAGCTCTGTATGGCTGCATTTGTGTTTTTTAGCTCCATGAACTCGTGACCCATCAGGGTCCAGGCGGCCAAATACTTGGGATTCAGTTTGAGGGCACGCTGGAAGTAGGAAATGGCCACCTGGTGATCACAGCGGATGCTGTAGTAGTTGCCTGGTGGTGAGTCAGGGATACTATTAGGCTTTTACTTTTTAAAGGGATAAAGCATTGTTCGAAAATTGACACACATATTAAAGGCATGAAAAATTGGATTTTACAGTGTGGGCAAAATTGTTAGTATGTGTGTTAAATACAAAAGTGTTAAAATGTGAAAAATAATTGTTAACACACACAGCTCACTTGTGTTTTTTACACAATGTGTTATTAACACGACGTGTTTTTTACACACTGTGTTTTTAACAGAAATGGAAATTACATTGACGAGTCGAAAGGAAAATAAAAAAGCAATATGGGCCGCGATATCTTATATGTTAGTTTTAACCATTTTTAAGTTCAACATACAATTCTGACACTTTAATGTCACTCATGGTGTTAAAAACACGCTGTGTAAAAAACGCATCGTGTAAATAACACAAGTGACAAGTGTGTTATTTATGTTTCTAACATATGTAGGATACAATTTTTTTTACACAAGTCAATAACTTATTTTTAACCCTGGAATAAAGAGAAGCCTCACCTATCACACAACACGTCTCCGGGCGATACTTGTTGATGCTCACCGCCTTGTGGGCCAACTGGGCCATCTCGGTCTTCATTTCCTTGACGAACAGCAGGTTGGAGTACGTGTCTACGTTGTCCAGTCGATAGGGATCGCTTTCGAGCAGCGCCTGGTACAGTTCGATCGCCTTGTCCACATCCCGCTTGTTGTGATAGACGAGGGCCATCTGGGCAATCAAGTAGATGCTCTTGCTGAATCCCGAGGCCTGCAGATCCTCGTAGATCTTCAGACCGTCGTCGTTGAGGTACAACTCCAGGTAGGTGTGCGCCATGAAGAAGTGCCGCATCCAGTGGCCACCCAGCTGCAGGCCGAGCAGCTTCTTTTTCTCCATGATCAAGGGCGAGAGTTCCAGGTAGGCGCTCCACAGCATGGGCACCAGTCGGATGGCCTGGATGAGCATTTGCTCGGCGGCCTGGTTGAGATTCAGTGCCTTCAAGACGACACCATACAAATAGATGCCATAGCCGTCCAGCCGACTCTTTCCATACTCCATGCGCAAGGTGGCCAGCAAATCCGCGAGATCGCGCATCTGATTCGGCTCGTGGAGATTCGCCTGGTCGGTGGTGGAGTCCAGCCGCCGCTTTTCCCTGGCCATGTAGGTGGAGTAGAAGTGCAGGAAGCGCGGCACACTGGATTCGCAGTTCCGCACCGCATGTGCTGCCCTGTCGTATTCCCTCACATCGTAGTAGCTCTTGGCCAGGAAGTAGTCGCTGTACTCCGCGGGCGCAATCCCCTCCAGCTGGCACTCGCTGAACGTGCGATCCTCGTCGGGGGCTTCATTATCTATCTGCACATCGCCCAGTCCGTGGTGCATCTCCGTCAGCCACTTGGTGCTGTGCAGCAGGCCCCGCTTCGAGCACTCGATGATCCCGCGGCGCAGCTCTCGCTTCACATCCGGCAGCAACACGCTGAAGAACTCCTGCATCGCGACCCAAGTGGTTTTGTTTGGAAAAGCTATGAAAACAATTTTATTTGCCGGCGCGCTCCGGGAAGCGATAATTGGCTATCGATAACCGAGTATTCCTATTGGCGAGGAGTCACGGAATATTTACGGTGTTGGGAAACGTTTTTATTTAAGAAGGTACCACTCTTGAGTACCTTTAAATTAATTTATTTTGTTTTCTATATATTCTTATTTTAATCCCTAAAACTCAGCGTTTAACACAAACAATTAATACACAAATATTTTATAATAATTGTATAATATATATTTTTGAAGCTAAATAAGGTAGATTAATATATTCTATATTTCAGTTTTTCAGCTATTTTTAAATAAAACTTGAAATATATTTAATAAAAATTGTTGTTATATTTAAGGGCCTATTTTAAAATTTAGTATTAGCCCTATAATACTTTGCAGGGAAATGACAAAAGAAACGTTTTTGCTATGTACCTACTTAAAACCGTGACCAGTTTACAGGTATTTTTTCGTACCTGCAAACCACAACTTTGCCCACCTGGTCACTCTAGAAAGAGATAGCGTTGGTAAGGGGAAGAGGGGAAAAAAGGCCTGACCATAACAAACTGTGCAAAAACAACAAAGATTAGGAAGAACAACATGTTTGTGAAATCAATTTCTTTGTTTAAATATTGACTGCCGCCCGTGACGTCGTCATCTGATGGGGAAATGCGACCCCCGAAGTTCCGCAACTGTATATGTATATAACTACCAAGTTTAAAGGTCAAATCACGGCTGAATGAAACTGCGCAGACAACAGAGGCACAAATTAAATGCATTATAATACCATAAAGCGACATCAGCTGATTCACTCGTTTATCTGGCCCCCATTGAGTGGCGCGATCCGATAACCTGCAAGCTATATACTCCATATAGTCAGTCGTCACTCCTGCTTTGTTTACCACCCAACGCACATCGCACAATGAGGCTCAAATCGGGAATATTTCTGGTGCTGCTTTTGACCACTTTTCTGGGTCTGGGCGACTGTTTTTGGCCCTTTAGCAAATGGCACAGTAAAACCACTCCCCCGCCTCCTCCTCCTCCGCCCCCGGAGCCCAAGCTATCGCCTGTGATTTTCGGTGAGTCCATTGATTTTTACCCACCAAGGTCGAGGGGTTTCAATATATACCTACTCCATTTCAGTTCCCGGCGATGGAGGCTCTCAACTGGACGCCCGCCTGAACAAATCGAACTCTCCCTATTTCGTTTGCCAGAAGACCCACGATTGGTACAACCTCTGGCTGGATCTGGAGCAGCTGGTCATTCCCATGGTCTATTGCTGGATCGACAATGTGAAGCTGTACTACGACAAGGTCACCAGGACCACGCACAATACGCCCGGTGTGGAGACGAGGATTCCTGGGTGGGGAAATCCCGAGGTCGTCGAGTGGATCGATCCCACCAAGAACAGTGCCGGAGCCTATTTCAAGGATATAGCCAATGTCCTGGTGGATCTTGGCTATGTGCGGAAACTGAACATCCATGGAGCACCCTACGACTTCCGAAAGGCGCCGAGTGAGTTGCATTCCTTCTCAGATAATCTTTCTTTAAAAGTAACCAGGGTTCGGAATTTAACACACATGCTAAAAACATGTAAAAGTGAATTTTGCAATGTGAGCAAAGTTTTTGACATATGTATGTGTCAAAAACAAAAGTGTTAAAATCTGAAAAATAATTGTTAGCACACACAGCTCACTTGTGATTATTACACAATGTGTTATTAATACGACGTGTTTTTTACACACTGTGTGTTTTAACACAAATGAAAATTACATTTTATGGACATCAATAACACGTCGTGTAAATAACACAAATAACCTGTGTGTGTTATTTATGTTTCTAACATATTTAAGCTACAATTCCACACATGTCAATAACTTTTTTTCGAACTTAACACTTTGACATTTAAAATGTTAATAACACAAGTTTTTTACAGAGTGTCTTATTTTCCGAACTCTGAAAGTAATTAATTATAATAATTTTAAATTCCAGATGAGAACAAGCAGTTCTTCATCGATCTCAAGCAACTGGTGGAGGACACCTACGAGGCCAACAACCAGTCGGCCGTCACCTTCATCACGCACAGCATGGGCAGTCCCATGACCCTGGTCTTCCTGCAGCAGCAGACCGTCCAGTGGAAGGCCAAGTATGTGAAGCGACTGATTAGCCTGGCGGGAGCTTGGGCTGGCAGCTTCAAGGCGGTGAAAGTGTTTGCCATGGGCGACGATCTCGATTCGTTTGCCCTGAGTGCCAAGATCCTCAAGGCGGAGCAAATAACACATCCATCCACCGCCTGGTTGCTGCCGTCTCCACTCTTCTGGAAGCCTTCCGAGGTTCTGGCCACGACGCCGAGCAGAAACTACACGATGGCACAGCTCAAGGAGTTCTTCAACGATATCGACTACATGACGGGATGGGAAATGCGCAAGGATACGATTCGTTATAGCCAAAACTTTAGTCCACCGGATGTGGAGCTGCACTGTCTGTATGGCGATGGCATAGACACGGTGGAGAGGTAAGTTAAAATATCCCTACGGAACTGATACTCAACTAACTCTTGTTAAATCCAACAGATTGCAGTACAAAAAGTCGGAAATTGCCGGGGAAACGCCCAAGTTGATTATGGGTCTGGGAGATGGAACCGTAAACCAGCGTTCCCTGCGAGCCTGCCAATATTGGTCGGGCTATACCAGCGCCCCTGTGAACACACTGGCCCTGCAGGGCGTGGACCACATGCATATCCTGTCCAATCCGGATGTCCTCAAATATGTTCGCACTGTCATGCAGCAGCCGTAGTTTTAATAGCATAAGAGTTTCTTGATTTCCAAATTCAACGCGGTATCTGTAAAATCTAACGAACAAACAATGCCAATTTTAATGTTAAATAAATGTATTTCGCTAAGTAGCACAAACGTAAATGACAAGAGAGATTCGTTTTGCATTTTCTTTAATTTCTCTTTATTGTTATCTTATTGATTTATGCTTATAAGATGAGATATCGAATCACGTGTGTCAATGTCAATGCATAACGCTTTTTATTACTCAATAGTGTTTCATTTTCCTGTCGGTTTTATTCGATTTTATTGTTTTCCATTTTCATTTTTTTTCATTTAATAAATTGTTTATATGTATTTTACAAAGCGTTTACTTAGATGTATTTCCTTTTAATTATACCGAATAATTTGTTAATTATTGCACTAATATTTAATTTCTTTCACTTCCTCCCGCCTCCACTTTGCTAATTTATTGTAGTTGACATTGTTCATTACTCTTGGTATAATTTTCCATTTAAAGTATGCTCTCGCTTATGTACTCCGATATCTGGATAGATATAGAAAAAAGTGTTTCTTGTTGCAATTAGGATAAAACTAAGGTTGTCGAATGATTTAGTGTCTCGCCTTTGGTTTTTCGATAAAATCAAGAAATATATATTTACAAACTGTTTGCTCATACAAAAATCGCTGTCGTAGGCTAAATTTGTGGACATTTCGCTAGAGATTTGTTGCTGGCTGCAGGTCATGTTTTCGGTTTCGGGTTTTCGCTTCTTTTGGGCTTACAAAGCATATTTAATTCGTAAATTGTTTGGGTGAGCGATTTGTGCGGGTGTGGTTTATTTACTCGTTAGCTAAATATATACATATATGTTTATATATTTAGTATATATTTGATTTTATGTTGCTGCATGTGGGTGTATGTGTCTGTGAGTGAGGTTTGTGTGAGTGTCTGTGTTGAGAATTGGACTTAAAAAACGATTTTTTTCGGTTTTTGTCAGTATTTCATTTTTGTTTTCCACTCCTCTGCTTTTGCGGGTTTTGCCCCTTTGTTCAACAAAATTTGTGCTCTCGTTCCATAGTTGCAGTTAGGGTTTTACATATATAATGTACGGGTATTATATATATAACTATAATATGACCTTTATTTTCCTTGACTCAAATCAAAGTGATTCTGAAATCGATACCCCAAAAAGTCCGCCACTTCTGCGTGTTCTGTTTCAAAGTTTTTACGTTAGTATAAAAAATCATGTTATCGAAAGTATAAAAATCGTATTTAGCCATAGTGTCTCTTCTAGATCTTGTCTCTATTTTGGTTTCATTTTCATTACATTTTTTCCATCATCGTTAAATCTTTGTTTTTGTTATCTATTTTGTTTCGTTTTCTTAGCAAAAGCGGGTGTATCTTCTTCAAGCAGGTATTCGAATGTTACTTGGCAGGATTATTATTTTCCATAGTATATATATATTTTTGTTAAATAGTTTTATAAAAGCTTAGTGTGTCGAGTGTGTGTGTTTGTGGTGTGGTTTGAATGTTTTCCTATGTGGTTCTTCGAGTGTTCTAGACCGTTTTTCTGTTCTGGTATTTAATTAGTTGCCTCTTGTTTGGTTTTACAGCTAATATGCTCTGTTATTGTATTATCTGATGCAATATATAGAACTCACATTAGGCGACATTGACGACTTAGCGGACTAGTTAATTAATTACTGGCTGCTCAATAGGTATCTACAATGGAATCCGTTACGATACGTTACCAATGGGAATGATATCAAAAATGATTATTGTTAATACATATCTTGTAGTACGCTCTTTCTGGCTTTTCGTTTTCTTTTTCCTTTTCCTTTCCGGTAATTAAATTAATTAAAGCTTTTTCGTGTGTGATTACTCGTGTCGGTAATATATCCGCATATCTTCCGGCTCATGTTCAACGCATAATTGTCTGAATCGAAAACCAGTCAACAAACCAAGTGATTGTAAATGAAGTCCTATTTACAATTGAATATTTTCTACTTACTCGCTTAGTTACACTTAGTATTCATTTCAATCTGATCGTATTGGGGTTCTTTAACTAGGCTCCTACAATGCGTTCGCTATTCAGATTTATCAATGTCGTTAATACAATTGAATTGCCATGAATATTCAATATTGCTAATAACAGTTCCCTCTGGATCGTCTTCAGATCGTATCAGATCGGATCTTCGTAATCCCGATGCCGGAAGGAACCCTGATTGGTGCTTCGGCTGGCCGAGACTACGATTATTACATAACAACTGGCCATCCTAGTCCATCCATCCTTCCTAGAATTCAGCTAGCTTCCCTCGGGTCTTCAGCGCTACTCATTTTAATTAGATTAAATATCTACGGCTAGGTTAAGGTAATAATTCTTTCCTCTGTGGCTCTAATTTATCCAAATCATCATCACATATCAAAAAGTTTACAAAAATTTCACTTTAGCTACGGTCTTTTGCTTGTTTTTTTGTTTACTTTTAGCGATTACGTTAATGTTTATTAAATTTCGTGCGCTTCGAATAAAACATACAACAATAGGTAATTTCTCTAACGCTATTAGCCCCCATAACGCCTACGTCTCGCTTGATAACAACTTATTTGTTATGTTGTTCGTTAATGATTAACATAATCAACGTGTTGATATATATATTTTAAATAAACTAGTTCGCTTCGCTTGTGATTTACATTATTGACTAACATTGGTTACCATTCAAGGGCTACTTTTGTTTTCTTCTTTTTTTTTTAGTGTACGTGTGGGCATGTAAAAGGCATTTGTTTGGTTTTCATGTTCATTTTCATATTTTCATTCCATTTCTTGTATGGTGTTTCTCCCCCGGATTGCAGATTTGCAGATTTGCTATTGGAAGAACTCAGCCGAAGATCCTGAAACCAGAATGTGTCTCAGTTCATTTGTTGAGCAGCGGGAATTTGGTGAGAGTGAAATAAATTCAGATTTTTGACGTTGTGTTCCAAATTGCGTATATATTTATTTTCCGATAAACCAAAGCGTGATCTCGAGGCTTATTTAAGTTAGTGATATATTCTTTGATGTATTTTACTTGCATATGTTCTCAACAAAATTGACAAATCCGAACTGATTTAAGAACTAATATTGCTCTTGGTTGGTTAAGAGTTGAACCGTTTCGTATTTGGTTTGCTTGTATAGCCAGTATCTCTTGTGCTCTCAGTAACAATTCCTTAAAAGCTTAGACTTTCGAAACGAAATAAGTGGGCTAAAATTATGGGTCAACAGAATAACGTGTCTAATTGATGTAACAATTGCTTTTGTTTTTCGGGATCCCCTCCATTCGGGATCCTTAAACCCACGCGCACGCTGATAATTTCCCAAGTTGAATGCTATATACTTATATGTACGTATAGACAGACCAATCGGACTTGGAAAAGCGAGAGGAACAGGAATCTAGACTAGAAATCAAAAGTGCCGGCGTGCGCGCCTTCGTCTATGTACTTGATCTGACCTCTATATCAACATGACTCTCAATTACTTTACTCATGAACTTACTATACAAGCTCTCGCAACGTCCCCTACGTTTTCATTAGATTTTTAACAATATTTTCCGTTCTGTTGAAACATTTTCCGAATTCAACTTTAGGCCTAAGTTGAGTTCAGCTTAGGTAAGTGCTGAGCAGAGAACTTGGCTAGTTTTCATGGGTTAAATTCAAGGGGAATCAGTAGATTTGTTGGCTATCCAAGTTTTCTGCCGGGCACTTAACGACTCTTAAGTATTTATACAAATTTCCAAATCATTTACTTTGGTGTATTGCAAAAATGTGCGAATGTCTGTGTGGCTGGTGTGTGTATAAAAAATTGTTTACTAACATTTCTTGTTTACGCTTTAGCATTTATAAATTGTACAATAATGAACTTTCATCGAATGATTAGGGATTCGTGATTCGTGTATCGACTGTCGATCGAAATGGAATCTCTTGTTGATATCGCAAATGAGAACAGCGACCAAAGTAACAGGGATGCAAACCGTTTGGGATTTTCTATCTTTTAAGGCAAGTGGTTCGGTATATTTAATTTGTATTTTCAAATAATTGGTATTTGATTTTGGAAATTTAATTTTTTTTATAAATATTTTACAATTTCAGAAGGCTTTTTACGTTACTCAAAAAATTATAGTTTTTAAAATTTGTAATGCAATCCGATTGGAATTTTCTATCTTTTAAGGCAAGTGGTTCAATATATTTAATTTGTATTTTCAAATAATTGGTGCTTGATTTTGAAAATTCAATTTTTTAAAATAAATGTTTTACAATTCCAGAAAGTTTTTTCAGTTACCCAAAATATTATACTTTTTAAAATTTGTAAAGCAAACAGTTTAAGATTTTCTATCTATTAAGGTATATTTAATTTTTACTTTAAAATATTTGGTGTTTGATTTTGGAAATTAATTTTCTAAAAGAAGGTTTTTTAAGTTACTCAAAATATTAAAGTTTTTAAAATTTCTAAATGGGTATAATCATAATTTTTAGAACCGAACCATCTCTACGAACTCCGAACCCATCCCAGTAATCCCCCGACTTGCATCCCTGAAGTAAGTTAGCCAGGCACATGTTGGATCTCCGAGTGGACTGCCACGCCCAGTGTCAAACGTCCTTGGGCGGCTTCTGCTGGTGCCGCCTCTCCCGCCAGCGATCGATGGGCGTGTAGCAGCACCGGAAGAAGGGAGGCGCCCTCGTCGAGGAGGAGGAGCTGCTGCTCCCGCTGCAGTTGCTCATCTTGGCCAGCGATTCGGAGGTGAGCTCCGTCTGCACTCCACTGGTGGTCAGCCGGGTTTCCGCCTGGTACTCGAATTGATACCTCGGCGGCGGATGCCCCGGATGACCTCCAACCAGTGGAGGCGGTGGCCCCGCCTTGCAGATGACACTGGGCGGCTCCATCTCGTGCAGCTCGAAGCTGTTCGAGCTGCTGTTGGTCGAGGGCCGGAACTCGTGGGAGCTGCTCTCGACCATGGCAGTGCGGTAGGTGGCGGCAAAGTAGTTTGTCTCCAGGTAGTGGCAGGACTCGAACAGGTAGTCATCGAACTGGTTCGGCGGCAGGATGGGCGGCCCCAGTCGATGCGACTGCGTCGATGGGGAGGCCGGCGGCGCCGGCGAGGGCGGCGGCATCATGGTGGCCAACGAACTGGACGCCATCGGCGGCCGCTGACCTCTTTGCTTCATATCAACAATTTCTATTTCTTCTATATCACTAAAACTATTCAACTGTTTCAACAAATAATGCACATCATTTCGTTTCGTTTGATTATCCTCGTCGTGGTGGGGATGATCATTGTCGTCGTCGTGTTGTTGCTCCTCGACGTGGGATTTCCCCGGATCCTTCTGCTCCTTTTCCTCCGTCGCCGTTGCTGTTGATTTGGGTGCTTGAAGTGTTAATGGAGTGCTGGCAACGGCGCCCGTTCCACGATCCAATCTGGGGTTCCCCTGGAGGCTGCTGATCTGCTGCTTGGTCGCATCATGTTGCTGCTGTTGCAGCTGCGGATGTTGCTGCTGCTGCTGCTGCTGGGTGACCAACTCCGGATAGGCCAGGTTGAAGCGCTGCTGCAGAGTGGCGCTGCTCAACTTGGGCAATCCCGAGTAGTCCACGGCCACCGGGGGCCGCTCCAAGGTGGAGTCTATGATGCGATTGAATTTAGCTAATGCACTGCTCGCTGCTGATGAACTGGATGTTGTTGTTGTGGTGACGGTGGTGACCTTAGCATTAAGTTGTTCATTGTTAAGAGGCACTGTTGTGACGGTTTCTAGGTTGTCTAGGTTGTCTAGGTCCTCGTCCTCGTCGACATCCTCGTCCACATCATCGATGTCGACGCCATCGCGCAACGTTTCCTGCACATTCAGGTTGAGATTGAGGTGCAGCTGCTGGCGCAGCAGCAGGCGGCCGGTCTTCGTCTCCACGCCGGGTATGTTGGGCGGGGCCAGCGCCTCCTGGTGATGGCCACCGCCCACCAACCCGCCCCGACCGGCGGCAATCACCGCCGCCGCCCGCTGCTGGGCCAAATTCGCCTTAGCCAAGTTCTTCTGCAGTATCAGCCGCCTCGACGAAATGATGGCATTATTGTCGCTCCCCCGCGATTACCGGCTGTCGCGGGTGGAGCGAGGCCGCCCCTAACTGGACGTGCTGGCGATCGGCGAGACGGGTGACAGCGGGCTGCGGGCCTGTTCGCGCGGACATCCGGTCAGCGTGATCACCAGCTTCCTGGAGCCGGCCTGGTCGCGGTGCTCGCACAGCCAGACGCCCTGCCACGTGCCCAGCGACAGCTTGCCGTCGGTGATCGGGATTGTCAGGGAGCTGCCCAGGAAGCAGGCCTTCACGTGCGCGGGCTGGGGGGAAGAGAGAAAATATGGTATTAGTTATCAGGATTTTAATAAGTAGGATATTAAAATTCATCATTTTTCGCTGTAATTTTCATCCCTTCCCGATTTCTATTCATTTTAAAAATTAAATATTAAATTTAACAATTATAGTTCATTTAAAGCTCTATTGCTGGAAAATGTTTAAAATGAAATCTTAAATTTTTTATAGTGATTCAAATATGTGCAAGTTAATATAATAATTTTAATAATATTATTAAATATCACGTTTTTGTATTTAATTTAATTTAAATGTGCTCTTGTAACTCTGGGATATGAAAATAAATGAAATAAAAAAATAAAATAAAATAAATATCTTTATTTTTCTTTCTTTAAGAAAAAATATTATAGAGAAGAAAACAATAAGGAACACCTTTTAAAAACTTTCACAAAGCAGCGTGAAAGTATGCTTTACAAAATTCAAATTCTTGGTTTAAAATTATTATTGCATACTTCTAAGCAAATAATTTCAAAACTCTTCTTTGGTTTTTTCTGAGTAATAGGTTATTTAAGAGCCGTTTTCTCGACCGCCTGTTAAATTTAAAGTAAACTTTAAACTCTGATTTCCCATACGATTTTAAGAAAACGGCCATAAATTTAAGCAATACTTTAATTTAAAACATCAAAATACCCACCATATCGTCGGGTCCCTCGCACGAATGCCTGTAGGGCAAACCTTCGGGAACTATTTTATTCAACATCATCTCCATGTCGTCTCTGAAAATGTGATCGTGATCAGATCAAGATACATTGTCCATATGGCCATCTACTCACCTGACGTCTGGATCCCAGCTTTCGTTTAACGCTAAACTCGCCGATGTGTGAAGAACTGAAAGAAAAACAAGCGCACACACAATGCCAATTAGTTGTCGGTGGGATTAATAATAATAATCTGTATAATGAATAGCCCCCCGGTTATTAGACCATCACGTCGAGGCGTTGGCTCCTTGGCTCTAGCTCCATGCATTTTCAATTGAGTTGTAACGCCAATTAGTCAAAATGTATTGCCGGAGGCGCACACCCGTCGACTTTGGGAATGCCGCCGCTCTGATAACATATCACGAAACCATTGTGAGTTATATGACACGACGTGTTACGATATGGCCAATTTAACGTGGGTAGGACTTTTCAATCAGCTGGAGTGGAAAAGCCAATGGATTTGGAACCATTAAACAAAGCGGAGATGAAACAAAAGTGAATCTTTAGCTTTTAATTGGCCGTTAAGCTCAAAACATCTTGTAAAAAAGTGTTAAGTGGGATGGCTTTTAATAATTTTTTTAGTTTTCAAGGTTTAAGTATAGGAATATCATGAATTTTAAAAGATTAATCATATAAAAATGAAATTAAATATTAATCCTAAGCTATAAAAACTTTACAATCGCACAGAAACATGGGTTTTTTCCCCCCCCAAAACAGATTTGTTTTTAAATTTCGAACAAAATTGTTTAACAAATTTATGATACGACCCAACACAAAACAAAACACGAGCATGTTTGGAGTTGAAAATTGAACAATAATTGCCTGCTTTTTCGGCGGCTCGCAATTGGCCAACTGCCAGCGCTGAAAATGTCAAACGATGCAATGAAAGCCGACTCGAAATTGAATATTTTACTCGAAATGAATTTAGTTTCAATAATGGATAGGTTTATCTATATACAAATAGCCGGGTAACACGAGAAACACTTGAATTTGCACACTAATTGCGTATTCATGAATAAAAGAGAAAGCTGCTGGCAGTTTGAGAAGCCGAGCGAAAATTAGTTTATTATCAAATCCCAGAGATGTAATTTTCCGGGCCCCGAGCAGAGACTTAAAATGTGCATATACAGCTATAGGCGGCCCTCATGTCCAAGTTCCGATTTTCGGGGGGCGGAGGTGAACGCACAACAACCCAGACCCACTTTCTTTCTAAATAATTTCCGAGGCGATTATGTCATGTTGTACATGTGTAAATGGCATCAGGAATTTAAATATCATCCATGGACAAATCCGGGGAGTGGGTACCGGGGATTTTCGGACAATGCAAATGAAAATGAAACCAAAGTGACATTTGACGCGGGGAGGCACACAGCAAATTTGCAAATTGATTGCAGGATGGGATTCGATTGGGAATGAGAGTGGAAATGGGACGAGGACACTGCTTCACTTGGTTGGCCTAAAAACAAGGTCCATATCGATGGCACACTTCTTACAATGTTCCTCTTGCATGAAGAAAAAGTATCACTAAGGGTTTAAAAAAAATGTATTGCAAACAAAAATAATGTGAACAAATCCTTAAAAAATATATATAAATTTATACAAATGATATATGTAGTTTTGTAATTAAATTAAACTTGTATAAGGATTTTTATTTTATTCTGAATATGTTCAGAAGAAATAGTATTAATCCACTCAAATTAAAGAACACAAACCCCTAAGCCACTTTTGAAATCACTTAAAAAGTTACCTAATAGAAGGCTTTAAAAATTCAAATTATAATTTTAGTTGTATACTTTTATAACTTTGCATAAACGATGCCATTGAAAGTACAGGTATTACAGAAAACTTAAGGTTGGCTACTAATTAGTTAATAAGTTAATATATTTTATAAGTAAGTATAAAAAAATATGGCTCCTTCGCCAGCGCCATTTTAAATATGTTAATGGCCTAAACATAATTGTGTGTGTCTGCCATGCAATGCGGCTTTTGAGTGGCATTTGGAGTTGTCCCCGTCTCTGTCACAGCCGCTCAGGCCCTCTCTTTCTCGCCTTGCCCGCATTCCGTGCACATTTGTTCCGTGTCCCCAGCTTTTTGCCCCCGCTCAATCCCAACTGGCGCATCCGCCTGGAATACTCGACTGACACTTTTTCCATTGCACCAAACACAAATGGAACGCGGGCAGGAGGCGTTAAAAGGCTCCTCCAGAGCGTTAAGCCGGTGGCCAGGCGGAGGACGCCTCTAATATGATTTAGCCATGGGCTTTGTGGTCGTCAACAGGGCCAAGGGAAGGTGGCTGCCAGGGGGCTCTATGTTTGCCTACGGCAGCCATTGCCAACGTCCCCACAGCGCTAATAAACGTTTGTGCGCTGCGAAAAAAATAGGGATTTTAATTCATAAAGGAATTCCTAACAATTGCAAAAATATACAATTAATTTTATTGGGATTTTAAGATTTCTTTTAAAATTATTTTGGAATTTTATATCCCTATTTAGATTTATCTCTTGAAAATATTACTTGAAAATGTCATTAACAAAATGAAAAGAGTTTTTCTGCCATTAAAAAACGTTTATATTTTAAATTCTTATAACTTTTTAAAAACACCTTATCCTCTAGTCTATAGACCCACTTTTCTCTCACTGTATTACGCATAGTTAAGTAGCAGGTGGTATCGTTTTGGCCGGCTGTTTAGATGTTTAGTGGCCTGTGTGTGTGAGTGGTAGGTGGGGTGGAGTAGTGCCAGTGTCCTGGGCACATGTAGCAGGCGTTTAGGCACTACAAAAGTTGCTAATGTTTTTAAAGAGGCCTTTTTATTATACAAAGTCAAACATTCTGACAGCACAAACAAGCTGGGAGCACACACACTCACGCAGCCGCATAGATAGAACCGCAACGGACGCACACATACGGCATACAAGCTCAACCGAAGGAGTACCCAGTACCCAGTGTTTAACAATGGACTCAACACAACTCAACTTGACTCAGCTCAGCTGGCTGTGCCCATTCATATATTCATGCAAACACGCACTCAGACTCATTTATGTACGCCCGCACAGCAGCGGTCGTCGTCCTGGTTACCAAGGATCAACGGAAAGTCCTGAAAAACTACCATCGGACACTGGAAACCTCTGGAATTTGGTATTTTTGGGAATAAAAGTATTTAAAAGAAATAAACATATTCCTTAAAAAATTCAAAGTCTATTAATAAAATTTAAAATGTTTATGATCCTAAAAGAAAATGCTAAACAAATCAAAAATATTTAACTGCAATTAAAATTTTTTTTTCGTACATATTTTTTAAGTAATTCAAGTTAACCAAAATAATTTAATTCAATACAATAAGTTTTTGATCCAATTTCACTGACCACCACTGTAAACCTCCAAATAGGAAGTGAGTGTGGGTTTCGGGTTTTACATTATGTAAGTCCGAAGTAAATGCTTAAATTCATCAACCTTCTTTCTACATAGCCGTTGCTTTTTATGCTTATCACGAGATTCTCAGTCAGAAATCACCGAACACCGTAAGAAAAATGGGTAGTCTGGTATGCCATCCTTTATTTTTTGTGTCAGGTGCTGGAGAACCGGAACAAAACGGAAGAAAACTAGTTCAAGCACATACCGATACGATTGGAAAATCGGAAAAGCGGGCTAAAGGACGAGGAAAAAAACCTTTGGCGTGCCCGTTTTGCATAAATAATATTGATTTATTGGGTAGCGCAGCATTTTGCGGTTCATAAGCGGGCAATTTAATGCTAAAGGAGCCAAAATGGAAGAACAAAGAACAAACGGAAGCCCAAAAGTATGACACACACATGGCACGATTTGTTTTCCTTTTCCATTTTCGTTCATTTTCCACGTTTTGTTTTTCCCTCGTTCGCAGTTTCCCTGTCGTCACGAAAGCGAAAGAGAAATGGCCGAGTACGCCCACAGAAAAATATATCCCTAATGCTAAAAAGGCTCCGAAAAACTCCCTCAACTCCATGGAAAATTCCCCCCAAAATACCCCGCCCACGATTGGTTTCGCTTTCGCTGGCTGTTGATTTATTTGGTGTTGCTCCTCCACAAAGGACACTCCGACCGAGTCCTTTTCCTTGTGCTTCGCTGTGCTCTTGCAGCTCTTTCGGTTTGGCTGAAAAATATGCTCGGGTTATAAATTGAAGTTGAGCCATTTATATGATCTTGCGATTATGCAGCAAATTGCTGTCGAGGGTGGTACTTCCACCACTAAAATCCTCTAGCCCGGCGGCTCCATGAAGTCGGGCACGTTATCCTGGAAAAGATCCTGCGACATCCCATGCTTCCCACTTTAATAATGTGCTTTTGTAGTAAATCCAAAGTGTATTAAGGGGTTCTACATTAGGGTGGGTCGATTTGGGACCCCAAAAATCGTATAGGGGGAACGTAATCTTTAAAGGATTCTAAGCCATATTGGCGAACATACTTATGGTCTAAAATGATGTTTGACCCCCCCCAAACGCGAATGAAAAATACAGCTTTTTTTGAGAAAAATATCATAGTAGTCAGCACATTTATAGTACTGAACAGGGAACGAAAATAACTGTTATTGTAAATTTTTCATACAAAAAAATCACGCACTTAGAAGGGTCCTAAAAATTTTTTAAATACACCACAATTTTTATTAGCCATTGTAGTTTACAAATCCGTAATGATTTTTATTTTTTGATTTTTATAATAAAACTCAAAAAATAACTGTTATTTTTTGATTTTTATGAATAACAGTTATTCCCTTGACATTTTTGAAAAAATGAAATAATTAAAAAAAACATAATACCCGTGCTTTTTATAACTTACTAAAAATTTGTTAAAAAAGGCAACCGCGCATATTTTATACCTATATTTTTTTTAAATTTTGTTTACCCACAAAATCGCCATAAATCAAGTTTGAGTTTTATTTTGATCACGACGAATAACTGTTATTTGTCAACTTTTATTATAAAACTCAAAAAATAACAGTTATTCTTTGAGTTTTACTTTACAAATCAGAAAATAACTGTTAAAGTGTGATTTTTAAAATAAAACTTATAACAGTTACGTTCCCTGGTACTGAATATCAATTTCAAATTTTTATTTTAAATTTAATAATACATCTGAGCTGACTACTATGATATTTTCCTCAAAAAAAGCTGTATTTTTCATTCGCGTTTGGGGGGGGTCAAACATCATTTTAGACCATAAGTATGTTCGACAGTATGGCTTAGAATCCTTTAAAGATTACGTTCCCCCTATACGATTCATCACTTTTTTCGGCCCCATACAAATCGACCCGCCCTATTCTACATATTTCGAAAAAATGTTTTAAGTTTGAAATCTTACAAAAAAACTGCCTAGAAGTATGCAGTAAAAATCTTTAAAAATTTGAAAGTTCTTAAAACTGTGTAACAATAACCCAAATCTCTTTTTTTTGCCAAAAAATAATCATTAACCTTCTGAAATTCAAATTATTCCTTTTATACAGTTCCGCCCAATTTCTATCAACTTTGACTTTCCTCGAATCTAACCTTTGAATGTGGGATTAGGCAAAGGCCCAAACCAATCATCAACTGCCCCCCAGGCAATTAGCTTTGCCCAACTCACATATATATAAATATATTTATACTGCTATGGTCATTCCGAGGTCCCCTTTATATTGGGGTTACGGAAACCCCAATGGGGCATTGTGTGGTCAGTAGGGTTCGGTTCTATAAGCAGACGACCTTCCCGTAGCACATATGAATATTAATAAAAAAAAAAAAGAAGAGAAAGGAAAGGAACCGAGTTGTAGAGGGGAAATATTTACCTGGCTCAGGTGGAAAAGTCGGAACCCGGGTGGATATATCATTTTTTAGCATTTCCCTGCATTCCATTACTTTTTGTTGTGTTTGAACAATTTACCTTTACTTTTGGCTTATATTTTTGTGTATTTGTGATTTGTGTGTCCTCTTGGCCACATTTCCCCTCCTCCGCCCGGTTGTTTGTGCCTTTCCCCATAGAAACAAAAGGAGGTGGGGCGGCGAAAAAGGGGGGGCTATTGAGGTCAATAGTAAAAGACAACAACATATGGCAAGGTTGCTTTGAAATTATTTTTCCCTTTTTTTTCTCTCAAAATTAACTTTTTTGTTGCTTCTCCTTGGGACTGAGAAGATGGAGAAGGGGCGAGGATAGTCGCCTTTCATTTGCTTGCATTTATTTACTATTTTTCCCTTTTTTTTGCATTAAAAGGGGGAGGGGGAGAGGGGCTTAAGCTTCCCTTAGTAAAGTGTGTCTAATTAGGAAGTCCTTTTAAGAAAATCAATAAACATGTCTTGACCTCAATTAGATTCCGCTTACAGTTCACAAAACAATACACGTACAGTGAGCACCCCAGACAACAAACACGCACACAGCATGGGTGGCGCAAGGGGGGTCGGCAGGGGCAAGGGGCAGGGACACACGTGCTTTTGATTTGGCAAAAAAAAATAAAGAAGGAGAGAGCAAGAGCAAGCGAGAGCGAAGGTTCGCAAAGACTTGCCTGCAATGTGCTGGCTAAGACGATTTGTGTGAGATACACTGGAAAAAATTGGTATCAGTATAAGAAAAAACGGGAGAAAATGTTGCCTGAATGTTTTTTAAATCCTAAATTTGTAAAACACAAAAAATCATATAATATTATTTTTTACCCATCTCAATAATTTGTACCTAAAAAAAACCATTTTAATTAAAAATTTCAGAGATTTAAAAAGTGTGTCTTAAAACAGAAAAGATTTTAAAGTTTCCGATATAAAAGATATAATAGGAAACTATTTATATATAAGTACATATATTTTTATACATATATTTTTGATAATATAATAATGTTTTTAGACTGTCGAGAACTGGAAATAAAAAATCCGAAATGATCAGGATTCGCGAAACTTTTTTTTTATTAGTATTTCATTAAAAATAAAGGGGGGAGCTGGAGCCCTAAGCCCCCTTAACTCTTTAAAATTCAAGAAACAGCCTTTTTTCCTGTGCAGGGGCACGGCAAAGGGGGCTGGCATGGCAGTAGAGAATACCAGAGAGGGGGGGCTAGAAAGGTTCGCCTCGAGCATTCACACGCCATAGCCACAGACCATGACATGCAGACATGAGCGACGACTGCGACTAAGACGACGATTGCTTTTCACTTTAGTCAGGCCAACTCCCGGCTAAAAAGCCCCCATTCCACCCCCTTTTATCCCCCTCAACTGACGCTTTATGATACGATTTTATTTATTTGCCCAGGCCAGAGCGAGATGGGTAGAGAGACCCGGAGTGAGAGAGACAGAAAGCCGCAGGATGGAGGAACGCGTCCTGGCATTGTAATGCGAACTGTCAACAAGAAGCTGCCTCCAAGGCAGCCAACTACGGAGGTTGTTTCTCTGTTTGCACTGCCTCCTCATCGTCTTAGTGCTATACTGGCCCACACTGAGAGAAATTCCGCCCAACTGATTTAAACTGGTTTTAATAAACAACACTATTTTTGGAGATTTCTCTAAGGAATTAGATTTGAACATTTATCTATGCATTCAGATAAATATTTGATATTATTTTGAACTAAATAAATGTATCAAAAGATTCATCCAGTTTTTGGATTTTTGTTCTATAATTATTTAAATTTGGTTATATATTGTTTACCTAATTAAGCAACCGTTTTAAATAACAAAAACTAATTTTTTAACATTTACTTGATAAATGCTCTTTTTTCCTCCAGTGCATCCACTGTCAGAAGTCTTCGAAAGTGGGGATTCCACACGAGAATTAGTGTGCGAAGTGCAGTCGTGGCAGCGCACAAAAAGAAATACTTTGCGGAGCTGCAATCCGAAGATTATTGCGAATGCATTCCGAGGATGGGAATATAAAACTTGAACAGGGACTCAAATCGCTTGGTGTCTGATGTGTGTGGACATCCTGTCAAGCGACGTATTGCACTTAAGGTTATAAGCTTAAACAAGCCGTGGACTTTTGGACATTCGAGTTTTGAATAAGGAAAATTCCGAAAAATGATTTAAGTATTATCAATAGACATCGGATTTTAGGTGAAATCGTTTTTTTAAATATGATTTAAAGCCACATTTGATTGGTTAAATTTTTTTTACAAAAACCTCAATTAAGTTTGGCCTAAATCTAATTATATCTTAATAAATAAAATGTCTAACCAATCAAATGTGGCTCTAAATCGTATTTAAAAAAAAACGATTTCACCTAAAATCCGATGACTAATGATCAAAAACTTTATGGCAACGCAGATATCACTATTAAATTACAAAACATTTTTCGATTTTCTGTATAATTCAAAGTTTCTCGGTGAGTAACATCTCAACCGATTTAAACACATTAATTTGGCAGGACCTCTTCTCCATGTGGGTCATTCTCACAGCCACACGTTTTAGTCACTCCAAAGTCAGACTCTTTTCGAATGTCAATCGCAATTTTCGGGGCTGCAGCGAAAGACACAAAGAAGTGACCGGACCGGGCCAAGTCAGTCAGTTTATCTATGTAGTTTAACCCAGTTACGGGCTAATACAAATGAGCAGGGCCCCAGCAGCCCCTTGAAAATCCAGCAAATCCTGCCGAATTCAACGACGACAATTTGTGCTGATTTGGTATGCAAGTTCTACATTTCGCTGTTTGTCCAACTGAACTTTCAACTAAATGCAAACGCCTCGTTCATTGCGAGATTCCCCCCGAGAAATACAATCCGGATTCCGGACAAAGGAAATGTAATGTCATGAAACTTTTCCATTGCCAGACTCTGAATACCCTTATGGATGGCTTTTCTCGATAGATTAAAGTACTATACTTGCAACCAACTCGGTTGCTTAGTTGGGAAAGGCTTTTGCGAAGTGTATGATTCGACAGCGAGCGAAATAAGATGGATGCGATGGAAATGAGGGGTGGCTGCCAAAAAAGAAGCAGAGCGATTTTCCAGCTGCTCCCCACGATTAACTGACATTCGAGCCCTGATTTTCGGATAATCACTTAGAAAGGCAGCCAAAAAGGTGCCAAAGAAGTGCTAAATGGCATTAAATAGCTACCCCTAACCGCGGAAATTTGGTAAGTGATATCATTTTGTAAGGGAATTTTTTTTAGGTTAGCTTTTTCAATACAAGTGGCCATATTTGAAAAACAAAACGGAAAGATGCTTGCCTAGAGTTGCCCTTTTTAAACTGTATTTTTTTATCAATAAGAAAAAATAGTTGGATTCTGAAGAAGAAGAAAATTCAGCTTAATTTAAAATAATTTTTGTGAAAAATATCGACAATATCGATGTTTTCGATATTTTTCAAACATCGATGTTTATCGGAAATATCAATACTTTTCTGAGCCTTAATTATAAACACAAATAAATGTGATAATATCGATATTTTTCAATATTTAAAAAGGATTATTTTAAATTCCTTTAAAACATGGTTAAAAAATATTGAAATCAAGTTCGATTGATATAAGGGCATTAAAGAAAGCTAAGAAAGTCGCTACTCACTCTGCATGTGGCACAGTCCCACTGAGAAGTGCGCCAGCTCCGGCATCTGTCGGAGGATCTCCTCGGTGACCAGGTGGACGCCGCGGTGCTGCGGCCTCAGGTTGATCTTGCGCTGAAACCAGGCGGAGCCGATTTGCAGGCCGACGATCGCATTGCCATCCGCTCCGGCACCGGCGACGGCGCCACCTCCGCCTCGTCCGCCGCCACCCCGGTGATTTGCCGAGGCCATGGTGCTGTTGGAGCTGCTGCTCCGGATGTTGCTGTTCCGGCTGACGCTCTGCTTGACCCCGCCTCCGCCGCCGCCACCGCCTCCTCCACCTCCTCCGCCGGCGCTGCCAGCTCCACCGCTGCCGCTGGTCGCTTTCGTTGTGCCGGCGTTTGGATTACTGCTGCTACTGCGACGTCGCTGGCCGCTCCGTCCGCCGCTCCTCTGGTGGCCTGGAGCAGTTCCTGATCCCCCTCCTGATCCCGATCCTGCAGCAGCGGCAGCAGCAGCAGCGGCGGCGGCGGCAGTGGACGTCGATGGTTTTGTGGACGACGTTGTGGCTTCTCCGGTAGCTCCGTTATCCGGACGCACTCACACGGACGCACTGGGTCACTTAATGCACTTAACAACACACCGGCAGTAGGATTCAAGGATGCAAGGACTCGAGGACGAGCACTCGACTCCCACAAGTTGTTGACTCTACTTGCACTGATTTCACTCCGAATTGGCTTTCACTTTCGGCCCTTCGAACCTTTTCACCGGTTTAATTTATTCTATGTTATTGCCACTTGTTTACGTTATCAGCAACTGCAAAAGAGAAGAGAGATAAGCGAAAGTCGGTTAGTAATGGAAATCTAACATATAAGTACTATGGGCTATGTATACTATACTAAACCGCACACTGGGCTTTTTATTTATTTATTTATAAATGTATTTCTTATATTATTCAGTTCGATTCGTTCTTTATTCAATACAAAGCTGATTAGGCAATTTTTTTTTTTTTTAGTATAACATAAATTTTTATTTAGACGTTGATCAACCAAATAAATGGTTATAAAACGTATAATTTAGAATAAATTAGAATTGTCGAACAAATCTTTCGCCTGATTAGGCATCAAAACATCTTTGCGATCTTAGTTTTCTTGTTAATAATAAGAAAAGTAAATAAAAAGCACATCAATCAGGCTTAAAAGGGCATCTTAAATAAAAATGGTCCTAACTGTTCAGTCAGCCACTTGTACGATCTCTCTTCCAAGCAACCTTTTATGGTTTTACAAAACCACATTAAATAAATCAAATATTATTGTTTGGGCGGTCGGTTGTGTGGTTCCATATCAGATATTAGTCTCTATCGGGAGTACTGAGAAGCGAGAGTACGAGTATTGGGAGCGCCCACAATCAACAAGTTTTTAATTGCCGAGGGCAAACAGCAAACAAGATTGTTATGGGTATCAATGTGCCAGAGGTGACCCCTCTAAACAATTCCAATGTGGGGAATAAGGGCTTTAGTTATGCTTAGTTTTCATGTGCAGTTGAAAAATAAAACTTTTTAAATTAACTTATAATTCATAAGAGATATTATGCAAGGGCGGCACTGCGTATGATTGATTTTATATACACTGCGTATGAGTGATTTTATAATAATTTATATTTTTATATTTTTAAACTAAATTTTACAAACAAATTTTATGTTTATTTATAATTTGTAACACAAAACTAAAGTAAATTCAATTATTTAATTTAAGAAGTTTTAATACATTCTACTTAAGAACAACTGAAAACGGTTGACTTTACAGAAGGCATTAAGCTGTGTTTGTTATTATGTTTATAGCATATGCCATTTCTATTAATTATAAAAAAATATACAAAATTATTTTATAGATACAGTGAGCTATTTGGTGAGTTCACATTTGAAAAATATTTTACAGAAAAAAAGTGAATATAACAAACAACTATTTTTGCTACTCTGTTGACTTTTTTCTCCATCTATGTTACCTACTATTCTATACCTATTTGTATTCTTTTAAAATTTAAATACCAACTACTACTACTAATATACATTAATTTTAAATATGTACAATATAAAGCTACACTCGCAGCTTCAAGGAAACTCTGAAACTCTGAAACGCTGAAGGAGTCACACGGCGGCGAACAGTCGAAAAGTGGAGTAAAATTTGAAGCGGCATAATGAGCACGTGTCGCCCAAGTGGGCCAAAAAGGGGCGGGACGAGGGGCGCCGGGGCGGTTCTGGGGGTGACAAGGACATGGGATTGTTGGCCCGGGAAAGCGTTCGTGCGAAATGGAAACAGCAGCTAGGAAAAGGCACGAGACGGCGCAGGATAGACAGCCATTGCATTGCAGACACATGGCATCAAGGAAAACGCTGTTTAAGAATCCCTCTTCTTCCTTTACACACACACACACACACACGCAGCTCCCAAGTTGAGTGCACTCACATAACGAAGCAATCGAAATGCATTTGAATCGAGGAAAAGGGGCAAAATGGGAGCATGGAGATGGAAGCCACAGCTGCTGCTGCAAAGGAAAAGCCACGACGAGTGTGAGTGATTTCGGGTGTCGGTATTTGGGTAAGCAGTAAAACACTAAAAAAAGACGAGAAGCAAAAAAGAAAAGGCCCAGGCACACAAACCCCAAAAAAAAAAGAAAGAGGTAGCCCTCGCCACAGAAAACGATTTACACGACACTAAAGGCGGTTGGGAAAGCGGGGAAAAGCTGCCAACTAGAGATGAGCTCCTGGGCAGTCCTTAGGTGTTGCAATATCTGGATTAGGCTGTCTTTCCTAGCAATTCATCTTTTAAATTCACTTTTTTTCCATTTTCTAATTTTTTGTGGGTTAATAATAGTTTTTATAATATTAACGTATATTTGAATTATGGAGTTTCAGTTTTTTTTAAATATAATATTTATTTCCCATCTTATTGGTAATTTCCCGTTCTACGAAAGTTATAAATTTATTTTAAAAGAATATCCATAAAAAATTAAAAGAAATGGGGTGTTTATTTCGACTTCTGCATTATCGAAATCATTTTTTCGTAATATTCCAAATTTATTTAAAGGTGAATTACTGAAGTACGAGACCCTTACCATTTATATATGCCCTAATCCCTACTAATCCCTACTCCATTTAAGAAAAGGTGTAAAGTAAGTGAGCTCTCATCTCTGGCAAACTGAACAGAACTGAGAAACCGAAGGTGTGTCATCAGGGGCGGGGGTTCCGCAACAACTACAACTACAGAAACAACCTCAGGAACAAGAACAACAACAAGATGAGGAAAGGAAGAAGAACAACCTCAGTGGGAAGCGCGTTGAGGCCGCGGCCAGGTAAAGGTACTTTATTCCTTTTACGGGGCCACTGTTCAAATTTGCATATGCTTTAAATATTTAATGTAATTCAAAAAGAGGAGACAACAGCGCCAACAAGAATCTGGCAATTGGACAAAGCCCGGCTCGGGCATAATCCAATTGGACTGACAAACACAAACACACCCCGCTCTCCAGTTGGATTCCCAAACAAAAAAACAAAAAAAAATAAAAACGAACAAACAAAAAAACACATGAAATGCTCGCGCATTTGGCAAAAAATCAATTTTCCATGTGATTGCCAAATACAATTTTTGGGGGAAAAGTAATGCTGGGAAAACTAAGAAAGTTCGGCATTTAATCAACACCTCAACGCATTTTTTGCTTTATTTTTTGTTCTGCTAATTATTGACATAACAAATGTGGTGAAGCTTCTCCACCATGCTTTCTGCACAAACACACGCACACACAATGAATATTCCGATGACAGCACACGCGAAATTGCCTAAAACTGAGAAGAGAACACCCAAGAAATCCGAATCGGCAGAGCTCGAGGTTTTTGGCACTTTGCTGGCCGGAAAATTGAGAACCGAATCACGTAAGCATAAAACTTAAATGCACTTAATTACATTTAATTTGCCGAGTCTGCTGCGTTGCCTTTTGTTTTATTTTACGACTGATTTCAGACCGCATCGAGTGACTTGTGGGGAGAGTAACCTTTATAGAGCCGACTTCTGACGTCGAGCACACTGCGCTGTCACTTTGGTTCGACGCCGAGTTGGCACTGAACAGATGATTGGATCCCGAGGTGAAATGTGCGAGGAAACGGCACTACATTGGGGCCCCCATAAGCCGCGCTTGCGGCAGAAGAGCACAGACATATGGCCCCATGTCTGAAATTCACCTTCGCGCGCTATTTTAAATTTATTTTGGTATTTTATTTAAACAATAATTTTTAAAGGATATGAAAATTTTCAAAAACATTAATAAGTAATAATTAGTTAGTTATTTGTTTTAAATCGATAAATGTTATTATTATTAAACATTATTGTTTATTTTTAATGAAATAGTAACAAATAGTAAAGTTGTTTTTGATATTTAAGATTTTCATTGCACAAAAATTACTAAATTAATTGTATTCCAACAGCTTCAATAATATAAATATGTATATTTTTCAAAAATATTTTTCACCAATCACACTATTGTCACGGTTTTTCATGGGGAAGATGTGACGTCACGACGCGCCCGTTAGTTCGACGTCAACTAATACTTGTACGAATTGCCGTTCGTATGCACCAACACAAGTGGAATAGAAATTCACGTTTTTCATTCAAACTTCATTCCAACCTCCTCTTTTGGTTGGACGCCGCTCTCCAAAAAGTCCAAACTAGAGGAGAGAAAATTGCCCAAACCAAATCTTGTTTACGTCAAAATTTACAAATTCTTAAATTTAAATTGGCACTATCCTAAATTATTTAACTGGATTTGTATGCGTTATGCTAGTAAAATATAAAACTAGTAAAACAATATATTGCGTATACGACTAGTTGAATTCAAGATTTAACAGATGCATTTAAGTTCTCAGGAATTTTATCAAATGTAAACATGTAAACAAATATTGTTTGTATTGTAAAACATTGTTTTCAAAAAAAATGTTGTAAAATTTAATAATTTTTTCGGTAGAGCAGTAAATTTTCCAACAACAATCCACACAAAAATCTCACCAAAGGGAAATAGCTCAACAAGTCAGCAAACTTTTATTACAACCCCAAAATGACAGCCCTGGACAAATTCAAACCGTGAGAGGTTAAAAAAAATGAGTCTCCATTTAAAATTTATTTTAAAGTAAGTGTGGTATGCATATCTATCTAAATGATCACACAATACGTTTAGACTTGCTTAATACTTTCTGCACAGCCTTCAAGAACTTAGCGATATCTTACTTAAAAATTGTACAAGTTTTGGATAATTTCAAAATAAAGAATTCTTTAAAGTAAACAATTTTAAAAATTTTATTGTAATCCCAATTGGTTGTTTTTTTTTAAATTTTATGGCAATAGGCTAAAGCTTAAGTTTATTTTGAGGTGCTTTTATTTTAATAAATACAACTTAAGTAAGCCATATTACAGTAGGCAAAATGTGTAATTTAGCGAAATACTGAACTAATTTTTTCTCAACTAAGCACTAACGAAATAATACAGCAAAATTAATCTTAAGAAAAAGACAATTGATTGGAACCAACCATTTCTATTAAAAGTATTTATTTTAAAACGAAGAAAAAATTAGTAATCTTTGTTTTCTTCAAGAAACAAACTATCAAAGAGATGAAAATTTTTACATTACCTATCAAATTGATCGTTAAGATTACGTTAATACTCAAGATTGGTTTTAAACATTCCTCAAATACAATATCTCCTTAAACCGAATTAATTTTCCTTATATATGTTTATATGCAAATAGTTAATAATAAGTTTTTTAAACTATAACTTATCGAAACTATCGTTAACTTTTCGATAACATTTTAATCCGAATAAAATCGAAAATAAAATAAAAATGTAAGAAAATATATAAAGCCCTTCAAATAGGAAAGCTAATTTTGTTGCTAGACTGCATCCCTTTTCGGTTGGCTGGCCAATCGAATATCGATTATTTGGCGGCGATAGGCGTGCAACGTTTGGCGGTCAAAACAAAAGCGCTCGAGTGTGCATTCTATTTACACTGGTTTTTTGTTGGTTTGGCTTTGGCTACTATGTTTGGCGTGTGTGGCTCGAACAAACGAAAAGCGGTGCTTACTTTGCTGATTTGGTGATTATTATTGATTTGTGGATTATATGCGTCTAATTGCAGTGGCGCTTGCAGGTGCTGGAGATCTGGATATCTGGAGATCTGGAACTGAGTCCGATCTGATAACTGGGGGATTCAGGATTCACAGCGTGGGTGGGCGCGTAGTATGCTGGTAAAAGTGCTGATGCTGCTGCTGCTGCCCGGGAATATTGGTATTGCCAACGCCGGAATCCGAATAGCCGGATTCGGATTCGGGATCGGAAGCGGAGACGTAGACGTAGACGGAATCGGTATTGGAATCGGTTATGGAATTGGAGCCGGAGTCGAGATCTCTGGGCATTTTGGGGCCTACGCTTTTGCCTTGCTCTCGGTGGCGAACGGAATGGCAACAAAAACAATAACTACGAATCGGCTCTAAATATAACGTCTGTCGTTATATTACTCGTTACTCGTTTTTTATGTGGCCAATTCACAGAATGTACATTTTTTACACCTTTCACACACACCCACGCACTTTACGCTCACGCTCGCACATTTTAGCCCGATTTTTCGCACACAGCGTTTTGTTTTTTGTTTTTGTCACCGCAAATGATTTTTTCTTTATTCCCGACTATATAAAGGTGTATAATATATATGAGGGTATATATATGTATATAGGTTAGTTGGGGTTTTTAGTCGGCCCTCTTTGATTTTCGCTCAACAGATTTTAGTGATTGGGATTTTTTTTCAGCTGCACGACGTTACCAAATGGGTGACTCCCATTCGGAGCCACATGGGCACAGTTTTTGCATTGGGCATTTTTTCATTTCACAGCTACACAGCTACTCCCTCCAAAGGGGCGTGTCAGGGGCTTTCGGGGGTTACGGGCCCAATTCTTATGGCCTTTTCGCCTAGTCTCTGCTTCCTCGTTTTTCAATAAAACTTCATGGCCCTATTACATATGTACTCCGCACACTCACACACACACTGGCAGGCCCGAGCCCGATTCAATTCGATTCGATTTGGATTTGGTTTTGGACTTGGATTCGATCCGAGGATAGAACTATAGCGATGACAATACTATATTTGCAATATCTCCCATCTGTTTTCGATTTTCCCTAAGTTTTCCTCTGCTTGGGTTGGCTGCCTTTTGCTTTTTTTCCAGCAACTACTTTCTAGATTTTCTCTGCATGCCTTTTCTGCGACGAGCGCCACCGATGTGCCACCGAACGAGAGCCTGAACTGAAACTGATTCGGGATAGCACATATTTTGTTGAATGAGTAGGTGAATGAGTGCTGCCCCACTCGTTTGGGTAACGCGAATGGCTCCCGCGCATGCCCCAAAAAGCAGCGAGTGCCGTTTGGGGCTCCATTGTGAATGGTTCGGGGGCTGCCATCTGGGATTTCGTCCTGCCAGGTGGCGCCCCCATTCGATAGACATGAAACGGTTTTTCAAAGTACCCCGACCTATGACTTTAATTATTGCTATTTTAAACCAGCGGTCGGCACACACATATAATAACATTTTCTTTAATATTTGTATGAGAAAATTACACTGGGCAGATCATCAGAGTGTGTGTGCAGACCGCTGTTCTACAGTATACGTGAGCGAGCAGCGGCTGGGCAAAACAAAACCCTATGCTCACATAATAGCGCGCTGCCGACCGCTGTTTTAAACACAAAATGTTTTCTTTATTATAACTTTTGTATTCTAAAAATACGACAAAGCTCCAAAAGATTGAACTTGGATATTTCCATGCTATTGTTTTACCTTTTCGGCCTCTCCTCTTATTTCAAAGCACACGGATGTTGGTCGACGATTATTATTCTCGTCAAATGCTTCGAATCTGTACACAACTTTATAGCGACCACGAATATTGGAAGCTCGTAGTGCTATGCGCAGATTCATAATAAACGGTTTAAATATCCAAAGGGTCTAAAAAAAATAATATATCGGTGCCCCAGTTTTCATTACAATCACAATAACGATACTTACGTCTTTGGTTGCAATGCACTTATCTTGAATCTCCTCACGATTCACAACGTATCGAAACCAATATTTAAACCAGTACAGATTCTCATCAAAAATGGCGGAGCAAAAGTTCGGTGAATGATAGTTGATAACTGTAGGTTCCCAAGTGCCTCGATCGAAGTGCATAAAATGAAACCTTGCCTGAAAGAGCACATTGTTTAAGGGCCTCTCGTTTCAATCTTGGTATAATTACGGAAATCCGATCAGTGCGGGGTAAATCCCATTTGGTGGTCATGTTTCCCGAGATGTGAACGCCATCCTCATCCTGATCGAAAACCATATCTTTCATGTCAACTAAGTCGTGCATGCCCATGGCATCGGGGGGACCATCTGTGCACGGCGAAAAGATGTCCGGGTCCTCAAAAGCCAATTGATATTCTGCGGCCCGAGTACTGACTACACTAATTGCGAGAATCACTAAAGTTGAAAACATTTTTGCCTGCCAACCGATCGTTGAATCGACCTTATATAGGGGGTTCCAATGGGTGAAAATATCGTAGATAATTGTGGGTTACCGTTAACGTTACACGAACGAAGATCATCATTTAATGTTATTGAAAAGACAAAAAAAAGGTATATTAATATAATTATCTTATCAGGAATTTTTAAAGGCCTAATACTGGGGACCATTAATGAGAGTTATTAGAAATTTACTTACATCTTTTAGTTTTTTCATGCACTTTTTATATTATTTAGTTTAACAGTTACACTATGTAACATCAAAATGGTACCTCGATGGATGCCTTAAAATTATATTCGCATTGAATCACCATTTTGTCGCCAAAAAATTCCCTAACGCAAGGATTCCAAAACAAAGAACCTTAAAGTTGGAAATAATTCTGTATTTTGCACAGCTTTTAAAGGCGAAAGGATTCTTCGTTCGTTAGGCAGTCAAAACTTTTGAAAAGTACCACTCTTTACCTTTCGAATTCCATACTGAAATTAGTTGAAGTAGTAATAGTAAAATAATTGTTCCTTTCCTTCGTTTTTAAAAGTATGTGGTTGTAATCTTTTTGAACCCCTTATTAAAATCATTAAAAACAAGATTAGACAAACAAACACAAATTTCAATAGCCTCTGCAAGAGGATAAAAAAATTGCAACTTTATTATCTCGTTGGATTTTGAAAAAAAATATTAAACATATTTACAATACGTATAAATGAATTATTAGAAAATGTTGAATTTATTATACCCGTTACTCGTAGAGTAAAAGGGTATATTAGATTCGTGCAAATGTATGTAACAGGTAGAAGGAAGCGTTTCCGACCCTATAAACTATATATATTCTTGATCGGGATCACTAGCCGAGTCGATCTAGCCATGTCCGTCTGTCCGTCTGTCCGTCTGTCTGTCTGTCTGTCCGTCTGTCTGTCTGTATGAACGCTGAGATCTCGGAAACTATAAAAGCTAGAAGATTGACATTTTGCATGCAGATTATAGGAGTTCCTACGCAGCGCAAGTTTGTTTCAAAAGGGTGCCACGCCCCCTCTAACGCCCACAATCGCTTATATACGATTTTAAAAATTTCAATATTTTGGAAAAGTAAAAATGCAGTTTTATTGTGTTTATCAATACCTATCGAAATGTAGAAGAAATTTTTTAAATCGGACCATTCGTTAAAATTTTACGGCGGATCAAAGTTTTTCTCCATCTCCTTCGCACTCCCTTTAGCTGAGTAACGGGTATCTGATAGTCGGGGCACCCGACTATAGAGTTCTCTCTTGTTTTTTTATCTTTTTGATAGTGCCCCTTATTTCGAAGCACACGAATGTTGGTCGACGATTATTCTTTTCGTCGAATGCTTCAAGGATGAACACCACCTTATATCGTCCACGCATATTGGGATTTGCTACGTTTCCCAGTCGAATGCTCACCAGAAACGGTTTATATACCCCAACGGTCTGAAAAAAATAATAATTTTAGAGACTAAGGGCTGCATGACAATGACTATAGCGACACTCACGCCTTTGGTTGCAATGCACTTCTCTTGAATCTCCTTACGGTTCACAACGTTTTGAAACCAATTTTTAAACCAGAACATATTTTCATTAAAAATCACTGAGCAAAAATCCGGTGAATGATGGCTGATTAAGGTCGGCTCCCAAGTGCCCCGATCGAAATGCAACAACTGGAACCTAGCCTGAAAAAAACTAAATATTTAAGAGCCTCTCGTTTAAAACTGGGTAGATTTACGGAAATACGATCAGTGCGGGGTAAATCCCAATTGGAGCTTAAATTTCCCGAGATGTGAACGCCATCCTCGTCTTGTTCGAAATCGAAATTATCCATGTCAAAGGCGTCGGTGAAGTCAATTGACCCATTCCGTCTATCTGCGCATGGCGTTAAGATGTTCTGGTCCTCAAACTCCAACTGGTATTCTGAGGCTTGACTACTGACCACAAAAATAGCGAAAATCAGTAAAGTTGGGTGCATTTTGGCTTACCAACCGATCGTTAAATCGACCTTATATAGCCGACTCCAGTGGGCGGAAATGTCATTGATAATTGCGGGCCAACGCTTGAGTTACACAAACCACGATCATCGAATGCTATTAACAAGACAAAAAATATATAATTTTAAAAGTACCTTATCAGGTTTTTTTCCCAATGCAAGTACCAGAGACCCCAAATTGGAGTTACGGAAATAAAATTCCCTGTGTACATTAGGGCGGTCCACATTTGTATAAAAAATTTTTTAGGTTTTTAAGATTTTGATAGAATTTTTTTTGGAAAAAATGGCGTTTTAGGGTCTGCGAATTAGCTTCAAATTTTATCAACCATACTCACTGTTGCCCTTGATCAAAAAGTCTTTTATTCTAAGTAGCGTATATATCAACAATGCATTGACGCTTTTTTTATTTAATTGCTCTAACCAAATTCATAATATGACATGACTAAAAATGGAAGCACATTTTTTTTTACCAAATTCGAACTGTTATACGTGTTGTATGTGTAATTTTTAAGAAAACTTTTAGGACGTTTCGTAAGGTCTTAATGCCGAAAAAAAATTGTTAGTTTTCACATACATTTTTTGCTCGGTTTAATCTATCATGTGAAGGGGTGAGAATGGGATTTCTTTTTTAAAACCGCCCTAGTGCACATAAATAAAAAAACATCGATCTTTTTTAAAAAAATTTTTCAAAATTGCCAAAAGTTATGCCTTTTTAAAACTAACTAATCTAAAATTTGGTATTTAAATATTTTGCGGGTTTTCCTATGGGAGCCATAAGATATAAATGATCAAGTTGAAATCCATTTTTAATTTTTATCGTTTCGTTAAAGACTCCTTCACTGTGTTGCAAGCTGACAAAAAATATAATACCAATAAAGATATATATTTATTCTTAATAAAAAAAGAAAATATAAATTTTTAATGTTAATATTGCATCTTTTCGACCACGCCTCTCATTTCGAAGCACACGGATGTTGGTCGACGTTCATTATTTTCGTCGAATGCTTCGAGACTGTACACCACCTTATATCGTCCACGCAAATTGGGATTTCCTACGTTTCCCAGTCGCAAACTCATAATAAACGGTTTATATACCCAAACGGTCTGAAAAAAAAAATCATTTTAGAGACTTATGGCTGTTTGACAATGACAATAACGCCACTCACGCCTTTGGTTGAGAGGCAATTTTTTGGAATCTCTTCACGATTTACAACGTTTTGAAACCAATGCTTGTACCAGGTTGATTTCGTATCCCACATCATGGAGCAAATGTCCGGTAAATGTTGGTTAAGTAATGTCGGTTGCCAGCTGCCTCGGTCAAACTGCATTATACGGAACCTAGCCTGAATGGAAAAAAGTTTGAGTTGAATAGCTTCTGTTCGGTTATTTTTTTCAAACACAGTAGAATTACGGATATGCGTTCAGTGCCGGGTAAATCCCATTTGGTGGTTAAATTTCCCGAAATGTGAATGCCTTCCTCGTCCTCATCGAAAATCATATTATCCAAGTCGAAGGCCTCGGTGAAGTCAATTGACCCCGGCAGTCCATCTAAGCACGGCGAAAATATTTCCGGGTTGTCAAACATCAGTTGGTACTCTGCGGCCTGAGTACTGCATCCACTAAGAGCGAGAAGGAATAGTATTGGTAACATTTTTGTGAGCCAATTGATCGTGGAATCGATGTTTTATAGCGAATTCCCGTGGTCGAATATAACACTGATAATTACGGGTTGTTATATTTCCGGATACAAATGCATATTCTCTCTGCACGAACTATAATCATGGGTTCTCTAACTTTTGTATTGATAAATAAATCAAAAGAAGACAATTACAAAAGACTGATTATCTTAATAGGACCGATTAAGTGATATACTAATATTTGTACTACTTTTCAAATTTTCATAGCACGTGTTATAGAAAAACGTGTAATTCCAATCACATAATTCCGGACGCCAGAACCTAAATGTCACAGTCATTAGGCCATATTCCGGCCAGACTTTTGCAGTTACCATCTCAGTGAGCGGCCAAAGCAACCGAACCAATTGGGTGTGACCAGCAGGTGGCCATGCCTCTTCTAACTAACCATATGCATGTTGTCCTGTGTTGGGGGAGGACTCGCTTGCTCCCGATTCCCCAGCTACTCCTGTGTCCCCGATCCTTGCGGTATGTAAAGTGAGTGGGTCTTTATCCTGAGGCACGCGGCACCGCACCCAGTTTCTTGGATTCGTCGAGTCGAGTTTGTTGTCATTTTCGCATTCATATCCACAATGAACGGAGGGCTGATCAGGGGCGGATTTCTTGAAAAGGTTTTAGTACTAAACTAATAGCAACATGTACAAAAAAAAGCATGTTCCCGTAAAATCGATATGGCCATGTAAATTTCAGGTCATGCAAAACCCATATCGTTTTCACACGAAATACTCTTATCGACTAGGTCAAAATTACCTGGCCGCATGTCAAATTAAAATTGATCTTATATAATGTAAAATCGATCTACGTTTCATATCAATTTTTTTTTTGGTGTATAACCCTTTTTTTTTAATTTTTGTAGGATTATAAATGTTCTCATATTTTGTATATATCGATAGGAATCTTTATAAACAATTGGTAAAATTTGCAATATTTTTGTAATATTAAATAAGTAAAATTGAACTCATAATCCTATCTAAAAAACCACCTCGTGAAAGAAATCCTACCCTGTATTTGTTAAAATATCTATCATTGCCTTTTCACGTTCCAGGCTTCATTTGTCCACGGGAGGGGATGGCTCCTTTGTTTGTTATTTTACAAGTTAGCCATTTTGCCGCCACATGGCTACACCCCGCGTAATATTTTTCTTTAGAGGGAGTGTGCGGGGCCGCGCCTCCCTTACAGACTTATTCAGTGGGCCAGGCCAGTTCGGACCAGTTCTTGGGGCCAGCAGTCGGAACTCGATTGGCAAGGCGGCCGGACGTATTTCGGGAGCAACTCCACGGCTCCAGCACCTGGCAGAGCTCATAAATCAGTCGGAAAATGGAAGACAACGCGGAGTTCCTGAACGAAATGTGGCTGGAAAGTGTGGTCATAGGGAGCTTCCGAGTGTGGCACATTATAGCCGCCGCTCTAGGTGTTTTACTGTTGATTAGTGAGTAGATACGGGGATTACATTTTGGGATCCAATTTAATTACACCCATCGCGCAGTGATTATGGTCTGCTGCTGCATTCGCTTCCGGATTCCGCGCACCAAACAGGAAATCGAGGCGGACTACCAGCGCAAACAGATCACCAAGAAGTTCCGCGAGAAGCTGCAGCAGATCAAGAACTCCGAAATGGACGACATGGACCTGCAGAAGGGTGAGCAAGTCGATCCGCCATCTCATTACCACCGTACATATGCATACACACCGACACCGCTTGGAGGTCCTGTGTACCAACTGTCCCAGTTTCGTTGTCACACTAATGCGAGCCAAGCCCTTTTCCTGTCTGCTGCTCCTCCCTACCCATCCAGACCATCCATTTCCCCCACACACGAGCTCACGCATTTGTATATACAAAATGATAAACGACTCCTTCAGCTGGCTCCTCTTGTTGCACGCTAGTTAATGCCACACTGGTGAAAAAGAGCTTTTTAAAGTCAGGATTGGAATTCTTTGCCTAAAAAGTTGGACGATCTGAAAGATAGAATATGTATATCACATATGACTTCAATCTAAATGATTTCGGTACTAACTTTACCTATCTAACATCCAAAATTATTTTAATTCACAATATAATTAAAAACAATAAGATTTGAATAATAATTAAAGTATCAGAATTTTCAATAATTCTATTTTCCTATCATTAAGCGTTCTAACCGACCTATTAAAACTCTCATAATATTATTAATTGTTTCCTTCATTTTGGAACAAATTTTTCCCAGTGCTTAGCGTATTACTCACTATCTCTTCCATTTCGCCCTGCCGCTTCTCTATCATAGCACTTGCTTATATCAAATTGGAACAGTACGATGATCCCTAAACTAAAGGCTCTGTAAATTCACCCGCACACTGTACAAACTATCGGAAGTACTTAAGCAGCAAACTCTCTACCGCAAAGAACACTGCCACTGTAAGTAGCACAAGTTCAAAATATATAAGTATCTTTAGTTTAAACATTTTTTTAAACTAACTAATCCCTTTTTCTAGTTTGTGCCCGCATTCAGAGCGACTATCTGAATTTCCAGGCCAGCGTGGAGAGCATGAATGAGAAGCAGAATGTTAAATTTAAGATCTAAGTGCCTGTTAAAGTATTGTGCAGGGGATACTGTGTCCTTAAGCGAAATGTTAGTAACCTAATGCCTTAATTTATGAAATTAAAAGTTAATAAACCAGAAATTATACAATATTTTTTAGAGTAAAGCTAGAGTTAAAAAATTGTGCTTGTGTATTTTATATTGCAATTTGATTTTCTCGTTTTTATTAATTCCGATTGATGTATCAAAGGTTTGTTAATATTTGCAGTACGTTTTTAAATGCGTTTTCTACACATATAGGCTAATTGCGGGGATGAATCCTCCATTGCGACTATATAACAAGTTGGTGGCATCCCTTAGTCGTGTTGCTCGTTTTGACATGGTAGTTTTAGTTCTCATGTTGCACTTAAGTTTAGGGGTTTATTGGTTTAAAATGCGGCTCTGCTGTGACGCTGACTTGGCTGATGACTGTAACAAATTGGCGGAGACACGGACTTTGACGCTGACTCGACACAAAACACACACAATTCATTTATTAACGCGTAACTATTAATTCTTTGTTCATTATTTTGCTGAGCTTACATTTAGCCTTAAGGTTTGTTTTGGAATACTTGGTTTTCTTTTGTTATCTTGTTTAGTTTATGCTGAATTTTGCATTGCTTGGCCAAAATTATGTTCGGATTTCGCATTTTAATACACAATTTATTTTTTATATTTATATAAAAACAACTAAATATACTGCACACATCATTCGATGCGTTTGAAAGTTCTCCCCCTGAAAGAAATAAAAGAGTTAGTATTAAAGACTGTACTATCACAGATCCAACTTACGTTATAGTTTTCTTCTCTGTGTTTTTCGGCTCGGGCCTTGCACGATTTAGCACCTTGAGGAAATCCGAGGTTTTTGCACGCATGCGCGAATGAATATAAGCCTTTGAACACTGTAAAAAAAATAGTGTGATAAAAACATGATTATCTTAGACATCAAAAAACTCTCACCTTAATGTGGTAGTGCAAATAATCTCGGAACATGTGGATTAGGTTAATGGTATTGTCCCTTGTTTCTTTGTTGGTGTGTCGAGGGAAGAGTACTGCAAAAAATAAGAAAGATATATTATTGTAAGAGTTCTAGAGTTTCTAAACACCATATCAAATGCCAAACTTTTAGTGGTATTGTACACAAACAAAAGTCATCTGCTATAATATTATTAATTATTCAGGATGCCGTTCGTATATCTAGTTGAAATTGGAGCATTTGAGACACAAATCTAAAAATTCATAAATATGCCACTTTCACTCCTAAACGAACTATAAATATTAAAATTTTGGAAGGATTGTGCACAAACTCAAGTCATCTGTTATAATTCAGGATAATTATTCAGGATGCCGTTCGTCCATCTAGTTTATATTGGAGCATTTGAGACACAGTTTGGACTATTTCTCCAAAAAATGCCACTTTGACTCCACGGAATTCAGCGTATCGATATTGTGCACGAATTAAATTCATTAAAAGCAGTATTTTGGAATGCCCAGGATGATTTAAACGAACAGTTATTCTTGGAGAACTGTAGACACGAAAAGATATTGAGGTTTCTAACATGTGAACTTTGTCTCCGGAGAGGAGATTTAATACAAAAAGGGTGAAAAACTAGCAGAACTAATGTACACGAACACAAGTCATCTGTTTTAATATATATAATTAAACAGGATGCCGTTCGTCTATCTAGTTAATATTGGAGCATTTGAGACACAGATCAAAAAAACATTTTAAAATATGCCACTTTGACTCCAATGTTGAATTCATAACAACATTGTGAACGAATGTATTTATCAGTGAATATATATGATCATATCCAAGATGATTTAAACGATACTATTTTTATAGGAGCATTGTAGACACGAAAAATAAAAGGAACTTTAGCGTGTGAACTTTTCTCCCATTTAACCATTAAATACTTTGAGAATCTTTGTACACAAACTCAAGTCATCTGTTTTAATATGAGTAATTAAACAGGATGCCGTTCGTCTATCTAATTAATGTTGGAGCACTTGAGACACAGATTTAAAAATTCTAAAATATGCCACTTTCACTCCTAAACGGATTATCAAATATCAAAATTTTGGTAGTATTGTACACAAACTCAAGTCATCTGCTATAATATGTTTAATTATTCAGGATGCCGTTCGGGTTTCAAGTTCATGTTGGAGATTTTGAGACACAGATAAAAAGAAAATATTTTATTATGCCACTTTGTCTCCATAGAATATATATTTGTGCCCGTAGCAAATTATCCAAGACAATATAAGATTGCCAAGGAAGATTTAATAGGAACAGTTAGTCTCGGAGCATTGTAGACACGAAAAAGATATCACTGATATCACCTTTAACATGTGAACTTTTTCTCCATTGAAAGAGTCTAAAACTTCTTGCTAATATGTTGAGGATTTTACTGTACACAAACTGAAGTCATCTGCTATAATATGTTAATTATTCAGGATGCCGTTCGTATATCTAGTTGATATTGGAGCATTTGAGACACAGATCAAATGTTTATTTTAAAATATGCCACTTTGACTCCACAGATAATATCATTACGTAATTGTTAACGAATGTATTTATCTTTAGACATTGAATATAATGTCCAAGATTATTTTAGCGATATAATTAATATGGGAGCACTGTAGACACGAAAAATACTAAGGACTTTAACGTGTAAACTTTGGCTCCCGATCCTCTGATTTATTCGACAATATTTTACTATTACTCGCTAGAATGAAGCAATATTCCCTCTTCATAGTCATAATTGGCTATAAGAATATCTCCTCCCATTAAATACATTTTCCTCAAACCTACCGAATGTGACATAGCCGATATTGTCGCCCACCCTGGCGTCCGAGTTGGCCAATTCCAGCGGCGGTTCGCGGTGCGAGAAGAGCACTTGCGGCGCTGTATGCGAGGCACGTCGTCCTTCCCTCAATTCCTGCATGAATACTTTGCCGATAATGACGTCGTCCTCGTCCCGGAAAATGGTGCTGAAGACAACGGTGACACGATCGGGCTTGGCCTCCACGTACCTGGGAAACGAACATAGTTTGTAAGACCTGCAGCGATTGTTTAGACTCTTTTTCTGACTTACAAAGTCTCATCGTTGCGGTAGTTAATTACGGCACGCTTTTGCCCCTCTTCACCCTGCTCCTGGTAGTCAAAATACTTTTCGAAAACGGAGGCGAAACAGTTGCGCTTTAGCAGACCGATTCTCTTTGCGATTTGCTCACAGTCCTCGGGAATCTCCTCCAGATTAATAAGTACAGAAACATTGTAGCCTGCAATTAACAGAGGTAATTAACTTATTTAAAAGCCGACGTTTAGCTGTGGATGCACCAACAAACCTTCTTCCGTGTCTGTGAGCAGACTGCCATATTCACGCTTCAGTAACTCGTCGGCTCCATGCTCTTGCAGTTGTTTGTAGAACTTCAGCGATATGCTGATCTGTTTGGCAATGCAACAGAAGTAAGAAATCTTGAATAGTCGAAATATTTCTTAAAAATATATTTTTATAAAAACTTACCCGAACTTTTGTTTTATCGCCATTCACATTGGAAATGTGATAAAGCACACCGTCAAAGTCTGCTATTCGTATGTCTATTGATTCTGGCTTCAGTCTGCAAAGAGAATTCAAAAGGAAACGGATTAGATCGATTGCTTATTAGTCATGCTTCCACACCCCACCTTATCTTATCTCAAAAACTCATTTATATTCGGTTATCTTTTGAAAAGAAACCAATAACAAAGAATCAATCAGAAGCTCAAAAAAACGTTTTGTAAATATTCGAAAATATCTGTTTGCGAACTCGATGTTTCCGTTTGAATTGTATTTAATCACACGGTTATCAGTTTGCCTAGGAATTTTAATTATAATGTTGGGAGAAACTCACACACAAATTAGGAAGTCAATTCTAAATTGTGCCATAATATAGCTCCCAATAAACCAATTGCCCACAAACTTAAGTCGTATGTTGAAATTAATTCGATTATTAAATTAATATTGGCGCATACGAGATATAAATTTGAGGACTGTTTCAAATGCACCTTTGACTACAAAATCGAAGTATGAATTTCAAATACAAGCGCTTTGTGCACAAACTCAAGTCATCTGTTATAATATGGATAATTATTCAGGATGCCGTTCGTCCATCTAGTTTATATTGGAGCATTTGAGACACAATTTAGCCTATTTTTCCAAAAAATGCCACTTTGACTCCACGAAAGTCTCGTACCAAAATTGTGCACGAATTAAATTCATCCAAAGCAGTATTTTGGAAAGCCCAGAATGATTTAAACGAACAGTTATTCTTGGAGAACTGTAGACACGAAAAGAAATTGAGGTTTCTAACATGTGAACTTTGTCTCCGGAGAGGAGATTTAATACAAAGAGTGTGAAAAACTAGCAGAACTAATGTACACGAACACAAGTCATCTGTTTTAATATATATAATTAAACAGGATGCCGTTCGTCTATTTAGTTAATATTGGAGCATTTGAGACACAGATCAAAATAACATTTTAAAATATGCCACTTTGACTCCAATGTTGAATTCATAACAACATTGTGAACGAATGTATTTATCAGTAAAAATATAATAATTTCCAAGATGATTTAAACGTTACAATTTTTATAGGAGCATTGTAGACACGAAAAATAAAAGGAACTTTAGCGTGTGAACTTTTCTCCTATTTTACCATTAAACTCACAAACTCAAGTCATCTGTTTTAATATGAGTAATTAAACAGGATGCCGTTCGTCTATCTAATTAATGTTGGAGCACTTGAGACACAAATTTAAAAATTTAAAAATATGCCACTTTCACTCCTAAACGCTATATAAAATATCAAAATTTTTATAGTATTGTACACAAACTCAAGTCATCTGCTATAATATGTTTAATTATTCAGGATGCCGTTCGTCTATCTAGTTTATATTGGAGCATTGGAGACACAGATCAATGGTACAAATATTTTAAAATATGCCACTTTAACTCCTCGAAGAAATTCAATTAATTATTGTGCAAGAGAAAAACCATCATTGGCAATATAACAGATTGTCCATGATGATTTACACTTCCAATTAATTTTGGAGAACTGTAGACACGAAAAATAATATTAACTATCTTTAACATGTGAACTTTGTCTCCCGAGAAAGCATATCTTGGCATTTTTTTTTATAACTTTTGTAGTCGAACTCAAGTCATCTGTTATAATATTTTTGATTATTCAGGATGCCGTTCGTCTTAATGGTTTTTTATTGGAGCATTTGAGACACAAATGGAAAGATTTCCGAAGTATGCCACTTTTGCTCCTCGAACTATATTTATAAACGCTTTCAATTCTGATTAAATTAGTTATTTATAGATTAATCAAAATTGGGGTTAAACTATAATTATATAATTAGTTGTTATAATTAGTTTTTTGTTAATATAAAAAATAAAAGACCATTTTCACTTTTCATTGCCAATAAAATGAGTTAAATTATGTAGTCGCTGAGTTCTGAGTGTTCACCGGTATAATTAAGTGTTTATATCATTAGTTTTGCTTAGTTATGATCAACTTGATTCCCTTGACACAGTGGTCTGTAATTATTATCGACGGTTTTTAGGATTCCTTATTAAAACATACTATAATTTCTAGGTTAGATGTGATGCACAAGGAACAGTGGAGTCAGGCCTTATAGAAACCCCATTTAATTGATGCTCAACTTGCATGCTCTGTGAGTCAGTTTTATGTGGTTATAATGCACCAGAGATGCGATAATGAGTTAACAAATGCGCTGTCGGCGCCAAGGGGGGTGCACTGTACTTGGGTACGTGTGTGGGAGGGAGAGAGGTGCAGCGATGAGTGTTCCAAGGCTGGAACTACACCCAAATTTATTATTCCCCAAGGAGAGCCGGTGCGAGCGAGAGGGGGCGACGAAACTGATAACAAAGTCGACGGGTGATAACGGTGGGGAATGCAGTAGATAAACCAAAATGGTGGAATAAAAGGCAAATTTGGTACGGGACTGGGGACTGGAAAGTAGAAACTTACCCCGCCTGGGCATTACGGTATTTGACCAGCAGCGTCTCCTCGATAATCCGATTATTGATTTCCAGCAGGATCATGGCGGTTTATATTAACTGTTATTCTTGTGCCAAGTGCGATGACAAATTTTATGACGTTGACTGCCGCTGCTGCTGGTGCTTCTTCTTCCGCCGCTCCCTGTGCTCTTTCTGCGCCAACTGTTTCTTCGACTGCCGCCGCTGAGTGCGAGTGAGAGGGGGCGCTGCTCCAACTCACCAATACTGGCGCATGACGGGCGTTTTAATGAATCAACAACAAAAAATGGGCGCTGATGTCGGCTTTTTTGGTCCGTCGCACAAACGCACGCACACACACGCCGCACACAGAGGCGAATTCCAATGCTCACGCACACAGCCGCACACGCAGTTGCATGAAAATCCGTATTCTCTCGCTTCTCCACCTGCACTTTCCAATCACCTGGACTGCGTTGCGCTGCGGATGCAGTGGAAAATCGGTCTCAGACCGTAATACTTATTAAATTATAACAAAACGTGGGTGGAAAACGGGAGCACGCTGCCGTATTTTCTTCGCTTACAGCGTTGCCAGATCGCACAATAGAGATGGGGCCAAATCATCGATAATGCGACTATCGATGTAATCGGGTCACTGAAAGGATAAGAAAAATGTACCGTTATAAAATTTGCTTATTAAAAAAAGTTTGTTCACCAAAAGTAGTTTAATATGTTATTAAGATTCCTATTGATATTAAGCACTTGATATTTACACTAAACAATTTAATTAACTCAAAATCCAGCGACCTTACAACCCTTTTTTAGAGCTGGCACTAAAAATCTATCGATATTTCCCGCCAGGCTGCCGGACCGTCGAAAATAAATAATAACAAATAATAGCGAAAATCAATGGACGACGGCGAGCTAATAAAACTGATTGAGAATCACCCGATCCTGTACGACAAGGACAGTGCGCGGAGCGTTAAGAATGCGGCCCAGAAGGACGCGGCCTGGAAGGCCATCTCCCAGAAGATGGGGGCATCGGAAAGAGCGTGCATTACGCGCTGGAAGAGCATTCGCGATCGTTTCGGCAAGGAGTTCCGCCGCTTCCAGGAGCGTCCCGACGAGCCCACCTACTGGGACATGTTCCCGCGCCTGCTCTTCCTCAAGGATCACTACAAGCAGGGACTGGCCAGGAACGAGAGTCTGGACGGGATGCGCTTTGAGCCGCGGGAGCGAAAGAAGCGCCCGAAGGTGGACATGGAGCAGGAGAAGCGGCGGAAGGACGAGGAGGAGGAGGACTGCCAGGATGACCTGCTGAACGAGCAGCTCATCGAGCTGGTCAAGATGCATCCGGTGCTGTACGACCGCCACAAGATCAGGGTCTCCAAGAATCTGGCGGCCAAGAACGAAGCCTGGCGGGAGATCTCCGAGAACCTGAATGTGTCGGGTGAGTTTGGTTTCCCCATCCCAATCTTCAGTCTTTAATATACCTATATTAACCAGAGGAACTCTGCTACAACCGCTGGAAGAAGCTGCGCGATCGCTTCGCCCGGGAATACCGCAGTCAGCAGATCAACCAGGCCACGCCCATCACTTGGAGGTACTTCAATGAGCTCCTCTTCCTGGGCCGCCACTTTCGCAAGGGAGTGCCGCTGATCTTGGAGAACATCAAGCGACGCGGACGACCGCCAAAGACGGGAAATGCGACGGGGAATCCCGGCAAGCAGCCGGAGGGCATGGTGATCTCGGGTGGCGAGCAGATCTGGGGTGCCGACTATCCCTACAGCACGGACAACGACGAGCTGGAGGACGATCTGGAGCTGGCCTACGACGAGGAGATCGAGATCCTGTCCGAGGCGGAGCAGGCAACGCCCTACGACTTCATCCTCAGCGAGGCAGCGCCATCGCAGGAATTGGAGCCACCGCAGCAGCAGCTTCATGTGACCACCACGACGCCGGCGATGAGCGAGGAGATTATCCACACGAATCCCGTTGTGGAGGAGATGTCCTCCCTGCCGGAGGACTCTGCCACGCCTGCCGCCACCTCCGACAAACTGCTGACCACCGTGATAGCCAACATGGAGACCGTGCTCCAGCAATCCCGCGAGCTGCAGGCCCAAATCCAGCACGAGCAGGAGCAGGAGCGAAGTGCCGCGCCGGCCAACAGCCTGTTGTCCAAGGCTCAGATGCTGCTGGACGGCCTGAGTCCGTTGGAGCGTTCGAATGCCGAGCGGAAAATCGTGCAGTTCCTGTGCCAGTGCCAAATTAAAGCGCTGGACGGCGAAGATATCGAGGATGTGGCACCGTGCCAGGTGATCAACTGACCAGGATTCCTATCTATTTAGTTGTAAATATATAAACGTAGGTTAGCTGCAAACTCTATTAAAGTATTCTTAATATTATCGAATTTTAAAATATATTTTAAACCACCAGTGTTGCAAAGCATAGAATCGAAACTATCGTTAGCCGCGAGGAGCGCTAAAGTATTCAAAATAGAGTCTTGAAAAGCAGATCCCAAAAAGCAGACAGACAGACAGACTAAAATACATAAAATGCCGCCCACACCGGCACCATTTATTGCAATTAATAACGAACAAATTCACGCACAGCCAGCAGGCGGATAAACAAATCGGTTGGCGTGCATTTGCCGTTGAGAAGTGCGAGTGCCCAGAGCGCTTAGTTGCCGCCTCCGGTTCACACGGTGCAGTTGCTCGGTCCCGGAGACACGGAATCGGGATCTCTAGTTCCGTTCGTGCGTCAAAGAGCGCCGCCGAAAAGCTGAAAATTATTAAGATAATAAACGGGAGCGCTTTTTAAGTGCCTGCGAATGGTTCGATTCGGGCATAAACTAGTTTTTTGTGTAAATAAACGAGGCGCTCGGCAAGCGTTTGAAGTTCTGGCCGGGATCCCGGTTTCCCGCGTGGAATGTGTGGCATTGGGGGATAGGTGAATAGCGTGCGCCCATTGTTGTGACACCTGCAGGCCCATCATCCCCATAAACCCGTACCCCGTACCGCTTCTCCATGCGCCGGTGGCCATTAGCTCAATCATCGGTATTAAAGGCGGCGCCCTGGTGGTCCTTTATGCTGGCATAATACTTCCATTCCTTGTTGACATACAGGTAAGTGCACCTAAAGAAATATGAAGGTGTATTGTTATTATTTTTAATTGGGTAAACATTGAACAACTATTTTTAAATACCTATATTATAATTTTAAAGTATTTGTTTGGTATTTTCATTGAAAAAATATAAATTGGTAATAAATATTATAATTGTTTAAACAATTTGTTTGTTTAAAATTTTTTAAAATAACTGTTAAAATGTTAAACATTTTAAAAATTTGGTCAGTAATTATAAAAAATAAATTTAACTATTCGAAATTATTACAGAAAATTAATGTTATTCATATTTTATTATGGGTCACAAGTTATCTTAAATTTATGACTCCCTTATGATTAATAAATAAATATCCAAAACAAACACTTCCCGTATAATGACTAAATAACAAATTTCCAAATCAAAAGCTTTTCTCTCACTGCCCTTTAAACTGACAGCAATTCATATGCAGCCATCCATCGCTGACTTGATATTTTTAAAGCTCAAATGCAAATGTCGCTGCAGCATTTAAAGTTCACTTCAGCCGCAGACCTTTGACCTGACCCCGAATCACCTACGGCGACGTGGGTGGCACCGCTTACAGAACTGAACTGCCACTTTGTCACACCATCGGAGGTCGAATCATCAATCACCATGGCCATGGGTGGATTTTCCAACCCCCCTTCCCACCAAACCCCCCTGCACACTTGCCCCTCGCCCACTGTGCTCTATTTTGCACTTGCAATTGTCTGTATAGAGAATTTGTATAATTGCCAATTGCCGCGGATTTACTCGATGGCAGAGACCAAATAATATTCAGCATACGCCGTGTGTGCCAAATTAATTGTAATACATTTCGCCGCATTGCCACACACTCACACTGGCGCACTCGAGGAGCTGTTATACATATACATAACATATATTTATATATATAGAGCAGAGAGATTCGCATAACAATAAATCCAAACTGAACATTTGCGCCGCTTTGCACTTTGGAGCACTGAGCACCGAGCTCTGAGTTGTCTGTAAATTTGTGAATTTACCACGGTTCGCCTGTCAGCGTGTGTGCGTGTATTTTGAGAACATTGTTTTTGGCATATATGTGTAGCAGAAATTGCAGTAAGTTGGCCCGCTCCTCGAGGGCCGTAAAGTAATTCGAACTCTGAATGAGCTCCTCTTGCGGCTGCGGAATTCGGCAATAATCATTGAAGAATCAGCGTAATAATGCTGAAAGGGGAGTTTTGGTTATGATTAATGGGTGAGTTCAGTGAATTCGCTAATCGGTATTAATTTACAGTTTTAAGTTAAAAGGTAATCTAAAAGAGAGATAGTAAAGTAGTAAAATGTATTATAATAGCAAGCGAACTGTTTTGGAATATCATTAAAATGTCTTTATATTGGAAATAACAAAAATTTGATTATGGTTCTTAAATATTGGATTTAATTGATACATATTTTAACATATATTTATGTTAGAATTCTTATATTCTTTGAATTAAAATATAAGCTCTTTAATACGTATCTAAAAATTTGGAGTCTGTTATGATGATTAATAAGTAAATATCCAAAACAAACACATATCTTATAATAAATAACTAAAAAACTAAATTTGTTAAACTTATTTAATATTTTTTTAAGTTACATATATCAAACAAAAATTGCATTATAATTGTTTAATAAAATTGTATTTGATTTAACAATTTCCCTGTATTTCCCTTACAGCCCTCGCTGTTGTTACTTGAACGTAACACATTACGTATACGTGATGGGCAAACACTTTTCCGCTTCTCCCCCTTTTTCGTGTATGCGTATCCTTTTGCCCTTCGGTAGGCTGCAGTGCAGCAACATTTTTTTTACGGCTGTTCTGCTGTTGCGACATGTTTTGCATGGCCGAAAAACAAAAATAGGGAGGGGGCCCCAGAACAAAAGTTCAAACACTGTTGCAAACAATTTGCAATAAAATTGAATGCAAAAACCAACGAGGGAGGAAGGAGGAAAGGAAAAGAACAACGGTGGCGAAAACTCAATCATGTGGCCAGTGGAGTGGGCTACTCAGTGGCCCTGCCCCCTTTTGATCAACCTTTGTGTGGAGCTTTGAACCTTGGCGCCATTTCGCTGACCGGCGCAGCCAGGCGCATAAATTTTCCTTCGTCTTTCGACTGAGAGGAAAAGTGATGGAGCGGGGAAAGCCGAAGGCTGCAGTTCAAAAGACTCGCTTGGCCAAAGTTCAGATCAAACTTTCGTCTTTTTCTTGCGCTTTTCGACTCGTTTCGGTGCTCGCTCCCCTGGATTTCGCCATCTCGGCAGCAATGACCTACAAAAGCATTTAAAATTTACGACTTGGAGGCGATTCTGCCTCGAGATGAATGAAGACAAACTGCAGAAATGGCCAAGGAGGTGGCTATTCTTCGGACAATGTCAGTGATGCCAATCAATTGTAGGAGAAAAGGGGGAACGATAAGGCTTTTTATAGACTTCAATAAAAAGGATAACTATCTGTAGGTTTGCCTACATTTTCGGGGGAATTTCTTTAAATAACGACTTCTTTTTACAGGTGATCGAAATTAAATAAATACCTATACAGAGAAAAAAAAGTAACAAAAATAATCATCCATCGGGTATTTTATCATATCAATTTCGGCCCATCTGTTTTCATATCAAAATGATATTTCCGAACATATGATTTTGTACCATATTGAAATCATACCATTTTGTTATGGAAAAATTGTTATGAAATCATACCATTTTGTTATGGAAAAATTGATATGAAACAATATCAGTTCCATTTTTTTCTTTGTGTACCAATGTATTTCTGATTTAAATTAAATAATATTTTTATAAATTGTTGTTAAAAATATATTTATTATTCAAAACTCACGAATAGTAATATTTTTAATATATACATATTTTTAATACAAATAAATACCAAGAGATTAAACTAAAAAGGGTTAAGGCCATTCAAAACAATTATTTTTTCTTAAATATTTTGTTTAGGTGAAAAATGTGCTAATAGTAAGTTTAATAAATGTATTTTACTTTTAAATTAATAGATCCCCTTAAACGTTTAATTGCATATTCCCTAACCCAATTAATGGCCAGGTAGGCAGCTCTGCTGCTCCTGGCGACCTGACAAGCTCGTTGCAAGTTTTCCAAAGCGACCCGCCAAGCGTGGAAATTTGCACGGCATGCATCAAGCTGTTTAATTGCTCTTGTGTGCAATTACATTTAAGTAACTGAAAGGAGGAGTGCACTCTGCTGACAATTAGGTGCACACGCGTGCACAAATTAGCTCGGGCTGCGCCCACGGGGCGTATGCGTAATCGGAGGGAAAAGGCCATCGTACGTCAGACAACAAAAGGCTTTTGCCGAAAATCAGAGTGCGAAGTCAGTCTGCGTGTATCCATATATTTAGCACTATAAATATATCTCGGGCAGGAGGTCCCGAATTATTTATACGCGTACATACATTCCTCAGTTCTGACTGCACGAGTTTGGCGATTTGCAATTACTTTGCTATTTTGGCAATGGCTTTTATTCTTCGCCGTCGCTGCGTCTGTGTCTGGCCACGCTGCTGATTTTCCGAACCGCTTTTCCCCGCCCCCTTTTTCCTCTTCCCGTTTTCCCATTCAATGGTCCATTGTCTGAGCGCGCTTGGCATCGTTTCAAGAGCGCGAAATCGAATGCTGCTGCTCATTACTCATACGCAACGTGGCACATAGCGAGAAGGCAAACTAGAAAAAACTTTCAATCGAAATGGCAAATAATTGCGAAATTAAAGGGAGATTTTCGCTGTGATTTGTACTTAAGTTAATTGAAAGTATTTCAAATAATTTATTTTAAATATTTAAATATATATAACAATTTTAAATTGGATTCCTTTTTTATAACAATGACTAAAAACGTTTTTAAAAAACATATTATGAATTCATTTTATTATTTTGCATTTGTTTCAATAAATTTTGGATAATTATTTTTGTTCTCTGAAAAAACTGACTAATTCAATTTGCGTAAACACATTACGCAAGAGATTTATGCATAATTATCCCCGGCATTCTATATAATCCCCCGAAAATTGCCAAATTGAGAGCAAAAGTTCTTGAATTCATAATCATTTGAATTATACATAAATAAGCAAATTGAATGTGTTTGTAAAGGCGGCAACTGCAAAAGTTAATTATGCGCAAAGTGAAACCAAATGTTTTGGCTCAAACACCATTGCGGGCGAATGTCGAAAGCAAATTGAATGTAAACTGAGAAAAATGAAATACGATGAGCACAGTGGCGATAAGGGGGGAAGGCGAAGGGCCATCCATATAATGGCCAACTGTCCGCTGGCCTCACAGAGCTCGAAATATTGTATACAATATAGAGAAAATAGAGAATACATAAATCTACGGCTAGATGCTGTCTGGCTGATATAAAAAATGTATCACAAAAGCATTTCAAGTGCTCTGACAAAGGCGTTAAAAGCAAATGGATAACAGGCGGAACATACACAAACATATCAGCATAAAAATAAATTAATCAATTTCGTGCAGACAACAAAAGCCAAAAAAATGCGTTTGCATTTTTATTGCGAAACTTTTCCGAAAAAAAGCCAATGAACTGTTTTTTGGTTAATTCAATGTTTTAAGTTCGAGCAATTCGTTCTCAATAAAGGAATTTCTGACAAGTTCACCAGGAATTAAAAGAAATATTTATATATTTCTGAAAACTCGTAAAATAATTATAGGTATCTGCAGTACATGGAATTTAAAATCTTAAAAAATGTGTAATTGAATGAATATTAATAATAAATATTTTCAAGAAAAATTTCACAAGGTAAAAAATATAACTTTAAAGATAAAATAAATTACGGAAAATGTATTCTGTTCATTGTAAATCCATAAAATGGAGCACAGCAAAAGGGAAAACTTGATAAAAATAAATGATTTTTATCCCTTCTAATAAAATGTTACAGCACCCAGAACGTTGCCAAATATTTCCTTTTTAGTTTCATTTATTTTTCATATATTCTTGCAAAC